TCTCTCAGCCAACAGAAGGCCACCTAACTTGGGATTAGAGGTGTCAAAATGGGTCTTAAACCCATATATGACCTATTTAAAAATAAATGGATCATATATGGATCACTTTAATTTTAAAGAGTCAATCTTAAATGGGTTTTAAATTTTAAATCTTAAAGATAAATGGGTCTAAATGGGTTGAGTTTGGAACCTATGTCCAACTCACCCATTAAACCCATCCACACACTCTCTCCCTCTTTATAAAAATGTTTAAAAAAATCGAAATTTAATTATTTCTATTTTTTCTCTTTTTCTTTTCTCTTCTTTCTTTTTCTTTTTTTTTTATTTCGGCCGGTGGTCGGCCACGGCGACTGGCCACCGGGGCAGGACGACCTCACCGGAGGCCGGTGAAGCTCGAGCTCGCCGGCCTCGGGCGAGGCTCGAGCCTCGCCGATCTGGCGAGCCTCGAGCTCGCCCGATTCCGACGACCTCGAGGCTCGCCCGATCCCGGCGAGGCTGGCAAGGCTCGGCTCGCCAGAATTGGGCGAGCTGGAGCCTCGCCTGTGGTCGGTCGCTGGCCACGGCAGCCGGCGATCGACAAAAAATAAAGGAAAAAGAAAAAATAATAATTAAAAATTCGATTTAAAAAATAAAAATATATTAATATTATTAAAATGAATGCACAAATCAGTTTTATATACCAAATATCAAAAAATATTTTCTAGTTTATTTTCAAGTTTTAGCCAAACGTCAGAAATTTTTTATTTTCTTGGATAATGACTTTATGGAAAATATTTTCTAGAAATGTCGCATTTTTCGCAAAACAAACAGAACCTCAATTTAAAAAAAATTATAAAATTTTTTCACTAGCTTTGTATTGCATAAAATGTTTTAGCAGTATAATTTTAAAAAAAATCATAAGAAACAAGTATTCCTAGATTATGTTAAATATAAAAATGTTTTAGCAATATGGGTCGGGTCGGGTATGCGTTGGGTACGGGTTGGGATATTTACACTACAAATAAATAGATCATAAACGGTTAATGGGTCAATTTGAGTCGGACCATTTATGACCCGACCCAAACCCGACCCGACCCACCCGATTAACAGGTCTACTTGGGATTTAGAGCAACACGCATAAAGGCAAGAAACAATTGGGAAATGTTAATTCGTCCAGACACATGGTAACAATTTGAGAAAGAGAAATGCTCCCTCAGCATTCATCAGGATAGCGCACATAACTTCAGTATCCGTCCAAAGCTCACGATGTCATAGAGTAGCACTAAGTTCACCGAGACAAAACTAAATGGGAATTACTGAGCTCCGATACTTGAAACTCACAATCTCACAAGTTTCCTCCACCGTCACCAATTCCATTCATTCCAAGCTGACAACCATTGCTCTAACGAACACGATCATTGCTCACAAACCAGTATCAAACATGCCGCCATGCCACATGCGAAATCCCGCGTCCTCCAACACCAGCGATTACACGCGTTTCAACCAGCAGGTTAGTTAGTTCTCAACCCCTCACCTGAGCACCGGTGCGAAGCGCGGCGTCGATGATGGACGCCCCACTGAGGTAACTGAGGCGAGCCGGAGCGGGGCCGATGCAGACGGCCTCGTCGGCGGACCTGACGTGGAGAGCGCCAGCGTCGGCGTCGTTTTAGACGGCGACGGTCCGAACCCCCAGCCTCCTCGCCGTCCGCATGATCCTGCAAGCTATCTCGCCTCGGTTCAACACCAGTATCTTCTCGACGGGCTTCGGCTCCTAGGCCCGTCGCTTCGCAGCAGCCGCCGCCTCCGGCGAACGGGAGAAGAGCCTCGTCTGGAGGAGCGAGGAGGTTCGACCATGGAGGTTGCGACGGCGGATCAGCAGCGCCATTGAAGAAGGCATGATGATTAGTCAGAGGGGGAGAGAAGAGAGACTGATGAGTCAACGGCGTCTTGGCTTGGCTTGGCTTGGCTTGGGACGGGTAGTGATGAGGATGATGGTTTTATGCGACGTCGTCCGAGAGGATAGAGGGAGCTCGGATTTGCATCTGACGTTCAGATGACGTGGCATTGCAACTTTGAACACGATAATTCCACTGCCTTGCCTTGCCCCCCCGCTCGAGTCAACAAGTCAAATCCTTTCTTCTTCTTCTTCTTTTGGGTTTGCTTATGTCTCTTCACTTCCTTTTTGGCAGGGTTATGGACCTATGGTGAGGACAGTCCGCGCACTAGATACCATAAAATTTTGTCGATTGGGTGTTCTTAGGACACCCGTTAACAAATTCATTCCAATAATTAATATAAAAATGAAGAGAAATGAGGAAAAGTATAGGGCTTTAAGGAACGAAAAGAAAATGCCCGGGACGTAAATATACTTTCTCGTATTCTGCAGCAACAATATTCCACTAGAGGGACTGGTGTGTGACATTGCTGCTTTAGATTTGTATGGAGTTGTCTTTCGGTGTACAAGATTTCAGCTGCTTAAAGCTTCTGTCGCTCCGTCCAAAAAAAAAATAAGAAAGGCTCTTGTCTAAGCTTGAGAATTAACACGGATATGGTAAGATACTTTGATGCAACAACTATGTTAAAGTGACGTGTCTGATTAATAGTAATGGTAATGGAAGTGGGAGGAAATGCAATCTGCCTACTGACAACAGACGAATCAACTAGTCTTTTGTTCTTTGACACAATCAGATCGACACGTCCCTAAAGATGATGATCACGTTAGAATGAGCAAAACTTGCCATCTCAGAATTATCGAGCATGAAGCGTTGGCATCATTGATTGGATGAAGAGAGGTGACAGAGGTCTATACGATGAGCTTCGCAGAGCGACTGGAAAAGACCATGGCCATTCGACAAGCATCCACTTAACTCTGTATTAATGCAATCCGCATCACAAATCATAAAAGAAAGAGAGGGAAAAAGGAAGCTCCTCAACCTCAACCATGTCAGTAGCATGTCGTGAAACCTGTACTTCATAATGATTCTGAAATTGAATTGAAGGAGCGGACATTCAAAAACTTCCAGTAGAGACGTAAAAAAAAAAAAAAGAGGGAACTGCAAAAGGCATTGGAATCAGTATCTCGGAATATACCGCCTCCGCAAGAATCGATCCCTTGTCAAGGTCTTTAAACTTCGACAGAGACCTCCTGTAGCTTTACATACATATGATCCACCCCAGACGAGCTTACGTGCTTCGTAAAGTGCTGCGTCTTCTTTTCCTTCGTCGATTGGTTTGATAAGTTCGTCATCTTTTTCACTTGAGCTTTTTTTTTCCTCGGTGTCTATCCAATTGTCTTCCTCTGAGTCTCTTTCCTCCGAAGGTCCGATCTTATCTGCTTTGAAAAGTCCTTGTTTTTCTTTTTCTCGGTCGATTGCTTCGATAAGTTCATCATCTGATTCACTTGAACTTTCTTCTTCCTCGGTGTCTATCCAATCGTCTTCATTTGAGTCTCTTTCCGAAAGCCAATTTGTTTTCATCGGCTGATGGGGTTGGCGCACGATCCTCTGATCATCCTCCTGTTGCTCGCATATTGGACGGAATCCACACTTCTTCAATTCTACTTCGGTTCTTGGTACGAAGTTTGTAAGGACCCGGGATCTACACTGTGTAATATTGTCCGCTTTGGGCCCACTGACCCTCACGGTTTTAAAACGCGTTGTCTTGGGTAGAGGCGCTCTCTAGCCCTTCCTCCCCCAAGCCCAATATTGTCCTCTTTGGGGCGCTCTCTGGCCCTTCCCCTCAAGGCTTTGTTCTCATCATGCGCAGCGGAAGCAAGCCCATGTGAAACGCGTTACACAGAATAGAGAACCCAAGCCTTATAAACTAGCTCAAGACTCCCCCCCTAAGCGATGTGGGACAAGAGACATGCCCCCCATTGCCATCCTAGAAGCCTGCCAGGAGCCGCTCCTTGTCCAGGCCCTCTGGCCCCGTCGACCACTCCCCGCCCTCGTCGGACCAGGTCGTTACATTCTCCCCTCCTTCGAGCACAGTGTCCTCGCTGTGGCCCCACACGCGGTCGGGAGTCGGCTCTGATACCATTTGTAAGGACCCGGGATCTACACTGTGTATTATTGTCCGCTTTGGGCCCACTGACCCTCACGGTTTTTTCCCACTGACCCTCACGGTTTTAAAACGCGTTACACAGAATAGAGAACACAAGCCTTATAAACTAGCTCAGGACTCCCCCCTAAGCGATGTGGGACAAGAGACATGCCCCCCATTGCCATCCTAGAAGCCTGCCAGGAGCCGCTCCTTGTCCAGGCCCTCTGGCCTCGACGACCACTCCCCGCCCTCGTCGGACCGGGTCGTTACATTCTCCCCTCCTTCAAGCACAGTGTCCTCGCTGTGGCCCCACACGCGGTCGGGAGTCGGCTCTGATACCATTTGTAAGGACCCGGGGTCTACACTGTGTAATATTGTCCGCTTTGGGCCCACTGACCCTTACGGCTTTAAAACGCGTTACACAGAGTAGAGAACCCAAGCCTTATAAACTATCTCAGGACTCCCCCCTAAGCGATGTGGGACAAGAGACATGCCCCCCCGATACCATTTGTAAGGACCCGGGGTCTACACTGTGTAATATTGTCCGCTTTGGGCCCACTGACCCTCACGGCTTTAAAACGCGTTACACAGAGTAGAGAACCCAAGCCTTATAAACTATCCCAAGACTCCCCCTAAGCGATGTGGGACAAGAGACATGCCCCCCATTGCCATCCTAGAAGCCTGCCAGGAGCCGTTCCTTGTCCAGGCCCTTTGGCCCCGGCGACCACTCCCCGCCCTCGTCGGACCGGGTCGTTACAAAGTTAACTTGGATATGGCAGCAATCGTCTGGCAGACGCTTCCTTCCTACCCACAGCATACTGCGCGGTAAATATTCCATCGACACATGATCGGAGTCCATTGAACGCACGCCTTTATCAAAGGCAGTCACCATGTGGCCGTTAACATGAATTCGGACTTGAGCAAAACCACGAACTGCTTTTCCTCCCTTTGGGCCAATAACAAAACAGAGTGCTAGTCCTAAGAACTTGTCATACAAGTCCCGGGGAACCGTGAAAGCAATGGAACTGTCTTCACCGGGAAAGAACCATTCTGGCATCTCTTTCCCAATTAGGCGAATGTAAACTTTTTTCATCTTCCGGAGCCCCTGTCATACAAATAGTACGCACATCAAGCACTCAAAGTTAGTGCGAGAGAGAGAGAGAGAGAGAGAGAGAGAGAGAGAGAGAGAGAGAGAGAGAGAGAGAGAGAGAGAGAGAGAGTCTAACCTCGAGCGATACCGCATGAGCCATATTTGCCCCTTCGCGGAATAATTTACGGCATGATGACAATTCAACCGAACAGCAGTCGGAGGAGAGACTCGACAAATCTGGGAATTCTCGTAGAGATCTGCAACGATTTGCCGAAAGGACATGCACATTTGGCGAAAGCTGAGGAATCTTTTGTATCTGTTTGCAATCATCCACATACAAGTGTTCCAAATATTTGTATTCGTTGATGCATGTCGGCAGATGAGTAAACTTGTTTTTGGAAAGATCTAGGTGCCCTAATTTGGGAAAACTGGAAGAACTCTTAAGAAACCCTACTTCTGAGAGATTGCAGCCATTAAGCTCTAGCCGCTTTAATTTTCGGAATCCCATATTGCCATTAGGATTGTTTGAATCCTCCAAGTTCTCTGGAAACGTGACAAAATTGGAGCAGCCTAAAAGATTCAGATACTCAAGATTTTGCCACTTATAAACACTTGATGGGAGCGTTGCGAGTTTTTTGCATTTTACTAAATTTAATTTCATCAAAAAGAGAAGATTTTCAACTGATGCAGGGAGTTCTTTAATAGCCGTCCTTCCTAGATCAAGCTCTTCTAGATGTTCCAACTTTCCCGGTACATCAGAGAACTTCTCGAGTTTAGAGCAACCAAAGAGATCAAGGGCTTGAAGAGATTTTGTCTTGAGTGTGTTAGGAAAGACACTGAGGTTAGAGCAAAACTGTAGTGACAAAAATTTTAAATTGTCGAGATATGCGACGGATTGGTGAACCTCCACCAAGCTTTTGCACCTATCAAGATACAAGCTCTCCAAATTTGGAGCCGATGAAAAGTCAGGAACACTAACCAGCGACTTGCATTGACTGAAATCGATGTACTTCAAATTTCTAGAAAGCTGCAAAAAAAAAATATCAGTACAGTCATTAAGCTCCGTAAATATTTGTAGTTATAAAAAGAGAAAAGCTAATCATCACAAGCGCTAACCTTAATTTTGCCTTCTAAATCTCTGATATGACTTTTTGGGACATCAATTCCAATAAGTTTAGAGCCAAATTCTAGTAATGGGGCATTGGGCCATTCAAGCCATCTCAGATTATTGGGGAGACGGACGGGACCTTCCGAAGAGATATGCACTTTAGGCAGAATGAGCATTTTCAACATTTTCATGTTTCTAAAAGCATCCACCTTTATGGTTATCTCTTCAAGACTCAAACTTCTCTCTTCTGGTGTGGGCAGGTCCAATACTATTGCCTGTACTGCATCCGTTCCCTATCCATAAGAGAGCAAATTCAGTTCTCACACAAAATTGCCATTGAGATTTATAATATACTATCCAAATCAAAGTAACATAAAAATGAGATATAACAATGTTTACATAAACAACTTTTACCGTATCTTCCCATAGAATGTCCCGAACATCTTCAAAAAGCCATAATCTACTGCGTTTCCCAGGATTATTGGGACATTCCTGCTTAACAATATTCTTCCCCATCAACTGAACCAAATCATGCATTTGCAGGGTCCCATACTCATTTCTTATCAAGGACCTCTCGATGAGAATATCTATTCCTGTAGTTGTCTCTCTCTCCAAGCCATCGAGAACTTCCTTGATGTATTCTATTCTTTTTCCCTTAAAGAAACAAGCAATGTCGAGGAAAATCTCCCTCTCATTGTCATCCAATCCATCGACGCTTATCTTCAAAACTCGATTGATACCTTTGTCGAGACTCCTGGAAAGTTTACGCAGTGCACTTTCCCATGCTGGTTCGTTTCTTCCATATAATAATGAGCCCAACACTTCGAGGGCTAATGGAAGGCCGCTAGCATAATGTAGTGCTCCATCTATGAGATCCTTTCTTATTTCAGGTTTTTTGCTGTTTTTAAAGGCATGCCAAACAAAAAGGTCTAGTGCCTCATCGTTGTCTAAAGCTTTAACTTCATGCACACACTTTATGTCATGAGAATTTAGCAAATGTTTATCCCTCGATGTTACAAAGATTCTACTTCCTTTTCCAAACCAATCGCCTCCTCCAGCTAATGCCTTCAGTTGATCCAATTCGTCAACATCATCAAGAACTAGGAGAACCTTCTTGTGACAAAGTCTTTCCCTTATCAAACTAATTCCTCCATCGACACTATTGACCGTTAGATGTCTAGGAGATAAGATCTCGGATAGAAGTGTTTCTTGCAAACCAACTAGACCACTGCTTTTGTTTGAAGTTTCTTTAACTTGCGCCAAAAAACTAGATCCCTGAAACTGGCTCTCAATAGCATTATATATCGCTTTAGCAATCGTCGTCTTCCCTATGCCTCCAAGTCCCCATATACCTATCATGAGAACATCATCATCATCCGACTCTTTTTGCGACAATGATATCACTTCTTGAACTCGGGAATCTATTCCGACCGGATGATCAGCAACATGTAAGGGTCTTCGCTCTAGACGACTTGATACATCCTTTACAATGCCTTGTATGAGCTCCGCTTCATCTCTGATAAGCACTCAAAAGAAAGAAAAAACATGTTTTAGCATTTCAAAGCCATGGCAAGAATTCAACCTCTAACGTCAAGAGGAAAATGACATAAGAAGGTGAGCAAATAATAAGACGAAAAGAAATTAACACGTCTAGTGAACCTGCCCCAACATCTTCTGCCCAAGGGAAAATTAAGATGAACCTGCGCCTGAAGACAATAATGATTAAGGAACTATTAATTACACTTTCATCGAAGACAAAAAGTTCTCCTTATTTTTCACAGCAACGATCGAATTCAAAGAATCTGCTAGCTTGAAGTTTTGGTTATTCGAATTTTGAGTCTGCTGTCTAGTACATATCCGCTTTGTATCTTCAATCAAATTTCAAAAGTCCGACTTGACAATATCAATCAGTTTTCAGTGGTAGTTTATTGCATGCGGCTTGAAATATAAAAAACAATCACCAGCTAACAGTGGCAAAGCAATGCGTCGCATCAATTAACTTACTCATCGTTAATATGCCACCCAGACAAGCTACCCGCGTCGAAGAGAGCCTTCTTCCATCTCTTCACTGTTTTCGAATCCTTCCCGAACTTGGTCTCATGCTTAGCCATAGCTCTCTTATAAGCCCTTCTCACTTCTCTTGGTTCCACTTTGTAAAACACCGGCAACACAATCAGCTCCTTCTGTGCCTTGCATTCCATGATCGTTGCCAGCTCTTCCAAACACCACCGCGAGGAAGCGTAGTCCTCGGAGAAAATGATGATCGCGATGCGCGATTCCTCGATCGCCCCAATAAGAGTCGGCGATATTTGCTCTCCTTTCCTGAGCTCCTCGTCATCCACAAAAGTGTGTATCCCTTTCTGATCCAGAGCCGCGGAGAGATGACTAAGGAAATTGTTGCGGACGTCTGTGCCTCTAAAACTAAGGAACACATGGTAAATCTTTTTGGAAGAGGCCATATATCAGGAACTTGGGGACAAAAACAAGAAAGAGAGATTAAGGGTGCGCATGAATATCATTCTGTGCCCGGGCGTTATTTCTGAACAGAAATGATTTTTTTTGATTCTGTGCCCGGAAACAATTTCTGAGTATTTGAAGGCGTTTGATAAACTGTCCAAAATTTCTATTCCTAGAATAGAAAAGAACAGAAATGCGTTTGGTAACTACACAAAATTTCTGTTTTCAAATAATATTTTAATAATATTTTGAATTGTTTAATTTTTTTTTTTATCAATTTTCTTCTTTGGCCATGGCTGGTCGCCGGCGACCGGCCACAGCCCAGGGCCGGCGAGGGCGTCACGGCCCTTGCCGGCCCGGGCGGAGGCGAGGGTCGCCCTCACGGCCGCATTGGCGGAGGCGAGGGTCGCACTCACCGGCGAGGGCGAGGGCCGGACCCTCGCCGCCCGGGCGAGGCTCGGCCTCGCCCGGATCTGGCGAGGCCGAGCCTCGCCGTCGCGACCCACGGCGACGCCGACCTCGCCGTGGGTCGCGACGGCGAGGCTCGGCCTCGCTGCCTCGGGCGAGGCCGACCTCGCCGTCGCGACCGACGGCGAGGCTCGACCTCGCTCGATCCGGGTCGAGGCCACCTCGCCCGGGGGCGAGGGTCCGCCCTCGCCCTCGCCGGCGAGGGCGACCCTCGCCTCCGCCGGCGGCGGCGAGGGCCGTGACGCCCTCGCCGGCCCTGGGCTGTGGCCGGTCGCCGGCGGCCGGCCCAGCCAAGGAAGAACAACACAAAAATAAGAAAAGAAAAAAAAGAAAAAAAAACTGATTCTCAAAATTGTGCCGAGAAACAAGAAGCAATTTTTTTTTACTTCTTGTTTCTCTTCCAAAACTGTTTCTCGGCACAAATTTTTGCAAAAATGTGCCCAGGAACAAAAAGTTTACCAAACGCATTTCTGTTCCCAAACTATTTCTGGGAACAAAAGAATAGAAATTTTCACTATTTGGCACGTTACCAAACGGGCCCTAAGAAGGTTGGCTCTGTTGACTCGATTTGATTCCAGGATTACGAAATATTATCAGCCTATCCCTTTGGATCTCACTCACATTCAGGAGGCTAGAACGAACGTGTAGAGGGATCTTCCCTTAATGGATCCCTTATATCTAGAATGTTGAAGCTTAAAAGGAGTACGAGCACCAAAGAAAAAAACGCGTGAGGATGGCTTTTTGCCTCAAAAGACGTGTGAAGAATACTTTAGACGAGGTGGGGTTTGTGTTAATGGAAGAGGGATGGAAAGATGAAGCGGGATCTCTCGCTGTTCTTGATAAGGATGAGGGTACACCTTGCAGATTTTCAATGAGGAAATCTTTGCGCAAACCGGTACGAAAAAGATGGCTGAGAAACTCAAAAAAAGTCAAGAGCGAGGGAATATGAGAGGGAAGAAGGCGGGAAGATGAACACCTTCGCTGAAGGACAATTTTGGGGTGAATTATTTGACTAGACTGGAGGAAGAAATAAAAGAAAGATGAAATAGGAGCTGAAATGCAGAAGCAGGTTCTTGGTAATTCTACCCACTTTGCTGGACAATTTCGGGTTCAATGTGACTTTCGTGGAAGTTGCCCAAGATATTTCCAAGAAAGATGAAATACCAAGTGTGCAACCTTGACTGCCATTAGTCATATCTACGGAAACAGCTCGTGCACACAAGCACCTTATTCTACCCCACCTAATCAAACTCATTATAAATATAATATTTTTTTTTGTCATATCATTACACATATAATCATTAGAAGATATTATTGATGAATTAACCAAATCACTGCATATTATTTTTATTTTTAATTTACGAGGAAATTTCTTTTTTCAAAGGACTTTCTATTTCGATACTAAGTTTTTTCAAGATACATCCATATTTAGAATATTAGTTTAAAACCTTGACAATAGAGAAGTCAATGAGCTTTCACAAATAGTTTTTCCAGAGTTGAAATAGATAGATTCCTTATAATGTGGAGGAAAGCTTAATGAACAAAGATAATGCCGCTAAATAAGGAAATCCAGATAACAAAAATAAGTAAAATGTAATGATTAAAATAATTCGATCAATAAATACATAGAATTTAAAGTCAAATTTGCTTAATGACTATGATAAAAAGGAGCGATCAATAAACGACTCTCTCTTGCCAATGATGAACCCGTGTAGATAGACGACGTCTTACAACGTTCGATTTTTTACTTTAGGGTATACCTATGATTTTGTCTCAACTTTTTCTTTTTTTGATATAATACTTACAGAAATTAATTGCTTGTTTGAACAGTATATGTTGTTCTACCATACATCTAGGGGAGCGACGACTTAATTTTAGCTAAAGTAATAGTGCCTCGTCACTATAATTTCAACTTTTTCTTTTTTTGATAATATAGTAACAAAAAACGAAACAAAGTATTGATTTGGCTCACATGCATCTTAAGACCAGACTGTGTGGTGCGAGTGTGAGTGTGGAACGAACGTTGCGAGTTATTGATAACACCGCGGCGACTCTCGTCCATCTCTTTCTCTCTTTCCTCTTTCATATCTCATCCGTTCCCCAACTACCGGTAAACAAATTGGACATTGTTGTTCGGCAGTGTTTGGAAATTGGAATGTGTTGCATGTGCTTGATCTGTATCTTCAAGTGTGAACTCCAGGATCACACGCAGAGAGAATCCTAGTGCGGATTATAATAATCATAAACACCACAGTGATGCGAACGCCTTGAAAGTCACATTAACTGGGCATTAATGATGAATGTTCCAAGAGTCCTAGAGGGGGGGGCATCTTGATGACAATGGAATAAGACCATGCTTTGGAAAAAATGGTTCTTTAGAGATTTTTTCGCAGTAAAACCAAACGTGAGTCCTGGGTTCTCGCATTTAATTAATACGATCGTGAATAATGATGACGGAAGTGCAAAGCAATGCACATGGAGAGGGAGAAGGAGATGAACAACCCTGGCTTTTGAATGACTCGTCATCTTCATCAAAAGCTGCTTCGCCTGTCAAAGTTACATTTTATCTATATTTCCGTCAGGAGACAGTGGAGATTTGTTTATGGGATGCGATCGCCCGAGCGTGTCAGGCGCGAACGCAATCGCATTCAAGCTCACGTCGGAGCAGGAAAGCGCCACTTTAATCAGTAATTAACGAGACGTGATCTGTTCTTTCTTAGTGCTCGAGTGGTGGTGGTATCAAGACATGATCCTCTCGGGGCTGGCGTGAGCAGGTTCGGGTTTAGACGAAGTACGACGAGGAGGGTGAGATCTCAAACGAGAGTTGAATCTCCCACCTAACTTTTTCACGCCCCTTTCTTTCTCGAAAGGACACGCGCACTCGTGCAACACATGTTGTTTCTTTCATTTTCCATGGCTACGGAGACAATCGGAAGTTTGCAGATACTAAGCTTGTCTCAATTGGAGACACGACCAAAGAACTTGGTCCCCGCTCTACGTTTTCACGAGATGAGGACAACCCGTGATTTAATGCGCGAGGCTCGACTTCGTTTGGGTCTTTTCTTTTTTTGGCTCATAAAACTTAATGTCATCGCAACAACCCGCAGTGGATGGGATTGTTGGTTTCGAGGCCATTGTTGTAGGAGCTATCAGTTCAAATCACGAGAGGATGCTTGTGCGTGTGGTGTTTGGTGAAATATTATCATTCGCCTTGTTTCCACCAATGCGCACTCCATCCATGGAGGAGGGTATTGGTTTGCGTCGTCTACATTGCGACAATTAGATAGGGAAGATGCAGTCATACAAATTTCGAAATCAGTAAATATGTTGGTGCTTAAAATTGGATCATATGCACTCAAATTCAATCCAGATCTGTGATGCGTTTGAAGTTTTTTTAAGTTTTTATCGTATGTCAGCGAAATTTTCAACTCTTCAACTTCATCGAAACGTAGAAGATCAATTTTCTTTATATTACTGTGCGACCACTGTGTCTATATTTTATCTGAAATAGCACCGAAACATAAATTCAGTCTGTTGTTCCTCTTTCAGAATAGCAAGTAAATGGCAATGCATGTCCAACTTAAATAAATTTTAAGTACTAAAGCAGCATGATTGCAAAATTTATCTTCGAATGGATCGATAGTAATTTCTGGCTAGCTAGGCATGCTCAATGAAACATCCCAAAGAACGCACGCACCTAAACTCGACTGAATCCTTCTACACGGCATCAGAGTCCATCGACTCTATTAAAATCCCTCAACACGTAGGACTTCCAGACGTGCAACAAGACACGTCTTTCGTTTTGCAAGCTGTGAGTTGGGTCCCGATGTCGTTTAAACTGTGATTGATTATGTCAATCAATGCTGCAAAATCAGAAACAAGGTTCTCAATCAATAACGTGCCTACTACGCCCCCTTTATAAATGGAAGTTGGCTATCTGTCTAACCAACTCGTGGACGAAGACTGAAAGGCACTGCTTGAGGTCAGGTCATCGTGTAAATGCAAGAACTGATTCGTACTTCATTTGGCCCTGAGTATGTTCATAGTCCTGCCAAATTAGAACAAATGGCCCAACTCGAGACACTAATCAGTGCGGTCCAGTTAAGACACATGCTAAGCTTCATTCTTTTCTTGGATGGGGCCCCAAAACTAGGACCAAGCACACTATGTCCATACATCATGGTCCACCTGAGTCGCAAAGCAGTTCTTGGTCATTCATGCCTAACCCCATGCTGCGCTGGTAGGTTGAGCGCATTTAAGAAACACTGGGGACACCAAAGTCGCGCCTAGGAAGAAAACTATAATGCAAAGTTTCTTCTTTTTTGTTTGTTTATATGTACACATCTATTTCAAGATCCCGACTTAAGCTCCTGGATCCTGACAGATCCAAAATTTCCTGCACAAATCCAGGAAGAGACTATCTTCTCGAGCATAGGGTGAGAAATAGGTAGATCTTGCCCCGTTTGATCCTCGTTCAAGGTCATTCCAGCGTTAGAGCTTATTAAGAGTAAAATCTTTCAGAAATGTATTGCAACCACTATTAATTCTAAAGACAACTTAGACATATACAATTTACATGTCAGTCTCACAGTCTAGCACCACACTTTTCTTTTTGGCGCCTCGGCAGCAGTGCGTCGGTCTTGTTATGTGCAACATTACATCATTACTCGTTCGATGTGCAGTCAAAAGCCAAAACGCCATGACCTTAAATACACCTGGTAATACTTCAAAGAGGCGCTCATCAACTTTCTATTCATCTCTAGATTTCGAAGTAGACACTGTCCATTGTTTTGAGCTGCTCCAACTCTTCTCCTCTTGCAATTCCAGGATCAATATAACACAACTGAAACAAATGATTGAATCAGGCAATTCAGACCCATAGTCATGAACTCAGGGTTTAACAAAAAAATCCCAGGAAAACAGTCTAACCTGGTATTGTGGCTTCTTCAGAGTATGAACGCCCCTTTTTATAAGCTTCTGCCACCCGGCATTTCTTTTCAGTGATCTTTCCAGCGTAGCTGTTCTCTACATAAACACAAAGATAACTCATAAAATATTTGGCAAGTATGCAAATAAACAAGCACAAGTCTCACCAAACTATGGCTTTGACTATCGTGCAATGAAGTGATCATATTTCGGGCAATTAAACAATGTATGATAATGCCTGAATAACTGGATATTGTGGATCTTGAATATCCAAAACACTTAAAGATATCAACCACTCCACTCTACGAGGAGTAAGAGTTTTTAATTACTCTGAAGCAAAAAGTAAGACTTCTTTCAAATTTCCTAAACCAACGGGCAACAATATCTCTCTCTAACTGAGAGAAGAAATCTCGACTGAAAGTTTTGCAAACTACCGCGAAGGTCAAAATATTATCTATACGCATTGTAATTGTGAGATTCTTTCTCTTTTTTTTCTTCCTTTGTGTAGGTGAATTTTTTCCTTTGCTAGGGCGAGAGGAAGGGGTGTTTAAAGTGGATTAATCTTATCAATACCCTAGGTTCATAATTACTTGCTAAAAGAAATGACAAACCAATAGTATTATTCAGATCTTTTTCCTTCCAAGGACCTCTACCCATTCTCAAATTTTTTTTGCCGATAATATTCATGATCAGTATTCACACATTCAGGTAGAGTTCGAGAGTGCTTTTTCTTAATACATGTTCTAGCATTCGGCAACCTATGTTTTAAGAAGGCTCTCGTAACAAATTTAAGTTTCAGAAGAGGCATTCCACTTGCGACCTACCCAAAGTTCCTTATTCAATTCTCACTTTAATAAGAAGCATCTTTTGTTCGTCCTCCCCAAGCTTCATTAGTCAATTCTGTGTCCTTTGTCCGTCAAAAACATCGGTATAGCATGATAAAACTTCTGCTTTGAGTGAAAAACTTTATACGAAATAGCTTTTTATTAGATCCCTCCATTGCTGTCTTAAGAACACTCCAAAATAGGAGTGATCGGCTCCAAGCTACATAGGTTCCACACTGGGAACATAGAATTTACCCTGTCAAAGGGGGTTCCCTGTATTTGGAACTGAGAACCGAAAAGGGTCCCTTAGAAACCGGCCTGGAACTGGCTCTACCCCCTTTTTTTTACAACTCTATACAAATTTTAGCCATATAATTGTTAATTAAGGATAACATGTCATGTCAACGACCTTAAGTAAATTGCTTAAAGCACTGATAGAGTACCTAGGCCACCCAGATTCGATCCCCATGTCTAACTTATTTGTTATATTTTTTTACAAAGTAAAAATAGGTTATAATCACAGTATAAAACGGGAAACCAAACCGGTCAAGGCCAGTTCTCTGACTTTTTACTCACGAACCTACTCGTGCCCTTGTGAACCGGCATGGAACCAATTGGGTAAGGCCGGTTGGGTGCAGTTCCCGGGTTGAACCCGCCAGTTGCTCACCTCTACTCCAAAGCTAACTGAAATTTCTACTGCAAAATCTAACTAGGTTATCGATATTGCTATCTTGGAACAAAGACCTCCCAATGCTTTCTGGTATCCCATCACAACAGTCTATTGCTCCCAGTCCTAACTTAAACATAGTTCACTCACCACTTTTGGCCGAGGCTAGGACACATCCAACAGTACTTTATGCATTAGAAGCAAAATCACACACATGTCCTGCCTTGTTTATACCTTTTGAAAATAAAGATAAGGGACAGTTCACTAACGCGATAGTGGATACTTACATGACCAGGGTCAAGTACTAAGAGATTGCATTTCTGCATCCCCTTTCGTTGATGTATGACTTGAATCCCAACGATGGTTCTTGAATGTCCGTCATGTTGAAAATAAAGAGGCCTGCTCACAAAAGCACTCAAATGTAGTATTTATCAGACACTAGAGATCCAGGCATTAGTAATATGATCAGGATAACATTATATCAAGGCAATCACTTACGTCTTTCTGCTAATTGAGACACAACTGAAACAATTATTTATGAAGCTTTTATCTGAAAAGTATCTCCACACCCAATCAGTAAGGACCTCCTGACCCTTACTAGATCTGGCAGAACTTATGCCCAGATCCTCATTACTGCTATCTGAAACTTGATCGTGCTGAATGTAAGAACAGCCAGTGTGTCCTACGGAGGAACAAACTTCAGGGGAAATCTGTTTCCTCTTGGCCAAATATCTATCCATTGGGCCACGAATCTGAACTGCATTCCCTTTTTCTCTTGCTCTTACGCTTTGTGAGTCTATTCTAGAACCAGGAACAGATAGAAAGAGTGATTCAAGGTTCTTTGGACCAAAATCCACTATCCTTGCCCGAAGCCCAAAAGAACGAAAAAGGGCAGCACATTCAGTGGCTCCGATCCAACTACTAGAACCATAGATTTTGTGATTGAAATGTTCTGATCCAACTTCATCAAAGCCCCTTCTCCAAGCAATCTCGAGCCATCTCTGAAGCGACACGATATCAGGAACAAATCCTGAACCACCAAATAGCCCCTCTTTCGCTTCCTGCCTTTCCGCTAGTAAGTGAGAACTGAGCATTTGGATATTACGCCAACCACAGCCCCAGCCAACATCCTCAGATATAGTGCTCTGAAAATGATCGATGTAACTACAAAGTATACATGTAGACTGCTCAGCTTCTAATTCAAGACATCTCTCTAACAAGGCCATTAAACCATCTTCAACTTTGTAGAAGCTACTTATTGTTTGCAAACTGACTAGATGGAAGATCTCATCCTCCACATCACTGCGAGTCCTTCCATCACACCTTGTTGCGTCCACTTCAGCAGCTTTATGACAGATTACTTCCTTCAACTTATCTATTTCCAGTTGATTGGTCTATGAAACAAACATTAAGTTACTGAAATTAGCATTACGGGCATGTTCATAAACAAAAAAGAAGCACACATATCTATTGTAGCATACTCCCTTCTTTCTGATCACACTCTGTATGTTGGAAGTTGCACAAAAGTTAACAGCTTTTTATGCTAACAACGGTTCTTATTCTTCTATAATCGGATTTGTATGCTTTCTAAATTTCTTCTCGCTATCAAGATAATGGCGTAAATCCCATGTTGTTCGTTGGACAAATCGTACAATTTGTGCATGAGGCTATCTAACACACAACACAAACTCGACAGCTACATACAACTGCACATTGAGAGCATATATCATCCCATATAAACAAAAACCGGCGAAGACATACGAGGAGGGAACCCACAGGATTACCATGGCAAGAGGCGGACTCGGAGGGGCGATCGCAATTCGCCGCGCCAGCTCCATGTCCTTGGCAGCCTCTTCATCCTCAAAGTGACCGTTCGCATGCCTACATGAACGATTCAAACCCAAATCAACGCTCTACACCAAAAAGGCCCCGCCGGCATTGATTTCTTCAGCAGCTAACATACCATCAAGAACGCAAAGAATCGTTACCTTTCAAGTTCCCCGTAAGGAACGCTCAAGCTACAGAACGGGCAGCTCGAAAAATCATCCATGGCGCATTTCTTTTCTTCCGCGCGCTTCGAGGGCGAGGAAGTTTTGGTCCGCTTCACATACAAAATTCAAATATCAGCGCCAAAAGAAAAATCCGCGCAAACCAGAGGGACGATGACTCGATCAGGAAAGAACAATGGCGACCCGTCTTCTTCGCGTTCCTGTGCTCTCAAAAGGACCGTCAAAGTTCAAAACTTGAAGCCGCTCGTATCCTCGAGCTAGACTCGGAAATCGAAGCGTTGATGCGACATTCGATTTTACTGCAGAGAGAGAGAGAAAGAGAGAGCAGAGCAGAGCAGAAAGGAAGGAGACGGCTTTTGGTTGAAGATGGGCCTATAGGCCCAGCAGAAAAAGACATGTTCTCGATCCATAAACTGTGAGTCTGTGACAAAGTAAAAATCTCAACTTTAGTTTGGGGTTCTTGATTCTTGAAAATTCTTTTCAAGGCTAACATACCTTCACATCTTGGCTTGACGATAGCCCCTTCAGATCATACAATGCATCAGCAAAAGAGATCGAATCTGGAAGTTAGAAGGAGAACCACCCTTTACTTTTCCTTTCGATTTGACCCTTTTAGATGTGTAAAGACGGGCGTCAATCGAATGAAACGCTCGGCCAGACGGGTGATTTGATCAATGAGTGATAGAAGCGGCAATATTACAGTGTCTTGCGCGATGAAGTGTGATCTAACTACTGCAACCGTACGTCATCGTGTGACCGTTCCTTTCAACTTTAATTGCGCATTGCCGCACGATCATTTCATTTCAACCGGATTTTCTAAGCGTGATCCTGTAAAAGGAGCATTTATGCAGATGGATCATATCTAAATTGTTTCAGAACAGTCGAGGTTTTCTCGTTCCCCACAAGTTGTTCTGTGTCTGCAACAAGCCTTGGTATTCTAACACCATAACGAGTCATTTCCAAATAAGCAGATGTACGAAACCAAAGCTATCATAGACTAATTTTGGCTATATGAGTTTGGTACCATTTGATGATACATGAGGAATACAAAGGGAAAGCTAAATCAATGCTCACAATCAGTTTCGCAGTCATTTATGTACACAAACTTGACTCTTATCTTCGCCAATGTCTATTCTTTCCAGTGTACAACCACCTCAGCTGCTCCTATACCTTGCTCTCCGCAATTTGTATTTGCGACGCCCTTTGTCCTGATGGAACAAGGGCCCTTCATATACAACACGAGGTGGAGGTCAAGCTTCTTCTTTGGTCAAGACATGAGCTCCGCTTTTCGAGAGTAGGAGGTTCTTCATTTCTCGGTAACTCCGAAGCTCGTCCAGTGCATCCGAGGTCTTACGAGGCATAAAGAATCCCGAAGCTGTAGCAACACCTCCCTCTTGTTCCGTGTTCAAGGACTGGGCTGAGTAACAACTGGAATCTTGTTGAAGTGGAGCCGCTGTTCTTAACAGGTGAACGAGAATCCCGACAGCGGCATTTTGCGATTTTGCGCCCATCGGTAACGATGACGAAGTGAACTCTGAACCTTCTCTGCCATCACCAGTATTGCTACAGAATGAAGATTGATGATGGTAAGGTAAGATTCAGGTCACACAAATCTCACAAGGACCATGCGAATGAACTACCTCCAAGCTATCCCTGGGATCAGGCCCAACGACATACATTCTCTAATTGATAATTGCAGAAAGTACGCCCCAAATATTGGAGACTGAAAATGGGGCATTACAACTCTTGTAGAAAACAGTATCACTTCACAGATGTACACAAAAATTAAGAGCAAAGAATTTTGGGCTCATCTACACACCAGTCAGGTTTAATTTCTCTGCATATTACAACATACAAGAAACATAATCTTTAAGTATTCTCACTTTTTAAATCTTTTCTGGAGAGGAATACATGAGACCTGGCAGTCGTAATGACCGAGATATCTCAGGGCAGTGAGCAACTAAGCATAGTGCAAAATACAGTCCAATAGATAATCGAACTCCCATCATGCACAGGGATCCATTGGCTAAGCAATTAGCAGATTGTATACCGTAGTTTATCAGAAAGATCTCTGGGAACCTTCAAACAGAAAAAAAAAAAAAAAAGGATCTCTGTGAAGCCAGAAAGCAAACTTTAACCAGCACTTGCATGAAAATTGTGTACAACAAATTCTAATTTAAAAGCATATCGCACAGGCAATCCTTGTTTTCTTAAAGCTATATCATCCCCTTTGAAAGCTACTGGTTCAACCATGCTCAGCTGCATCCCCAATGACAACAGCTTTTGCAACTGCCATTCTAGACTAAATAGGAATGGCTGTACTATACTAAAGGATCCCCATAGTTCCATCAGTATGGTTAGTGTCTTCTTCTATCCTTTATCAAGTAAGAGGCTGACCACTCTTATCAGATGATAATATGATAGACGGATGATGATTCAGGCCAAGGCCCCTTGATACATATGATGAAAACTTGTGCTCTTAAAATAAATCTCAAATTGAAAGCATAACCATTCACCACTCCATCGATCACATTTAAGACCCCATTCATACCAAGCTATCACTCAAAAGCAAACCGGTTATAGAGACACAGAAAAATTCATATGCAGGCAAATGTACAATTGCTATCAAGAGAAACAAATGACCAAAAAGTACCTGGGTGGAGGATCAACATCATCAACATCGAAAGGGCATGAAAAGTCACCATCATCCAAGTCATCTTGGAAAGACAATCTACTAGAACTTCGAGAAAACCCTATGCGCGGAGAGCCACTTGAAGATAACAAGCCCGAAAACCGCCCCGAATCATCTCGACCATCTTTTGTGACCTACCCAAAGGAATTACATTTGGGCTTCAGCAAATATGCTACAGATTGTTACTCTTGTATTGAGAAATAAAAATGCATGGATCAACAAGTGACTAGATTTAAAGACATTACCTTCTGATTAACATAGTGATTATGCAACTCCCCAGATCTCAAAGATTCCTGTTTCCGGAATGATCTGATTCCAGATGAAGACTCTTGAGATGAGGGGTCAAGCCTTGTGTGCCTGGGTGATAGAGGGGGAAGAGAATGTCTATTTGGATCAGAAAAGTTTGGAGATAAGTATCTCGCATTTCCACTTGCTGTTGGATGTGGAATGGCCATGGGAGCGGTCTCCGACCGTACACGATTTTTGCCAACACTACCGCTGGAAAAGTATGTTGGCGGAGATGGGGAAGGAGATGGAGAGAAAGGGGATGGAGAGAAAGGTGGCGACAGTTGATAATCTTCATAGCTATTAACTCTTTGAGATGTGGATCTATAGCTTTGAGCTCGTTGAGAATACTTATCAGTAGGAGGAGATGGAGAACCATAAGCACAGTATGTAGGTGGGGATCCACCAAGGGAATGACCTTGTGTAAAAGGAGCTGGTCTGTGAAATCCACTTGTCCAGCTGTGTGGGCGTTGAAATGGTGCTGAAGAAGGCGATCCTACTCCTCTTAAAGGAAAAGATGTAGGGCGAACACCCTTATCAAAAGAGGGGAACGACCTAAGTGGGTCAGTGGCAGGACTACCGACGTAATCAGTAATAATCCTCGGAAACAATGAAGTTGCGGGCTCCAGGTTGAAATCAGACAATGTTTTACGATATGAAACAGCTACACTAAAACGTCCTGAAGAGGCCTCCACAGGAGCAAAAGTATATTCTTTCATCATCTCCTCCTCTGCCCGTGAGAATGGATTACTAAAGGTAGATACTTTGTATATGAGATCCAAATTACATGTCTGGCCCGATGAACTTAGCTGCCGAAATATCCTATAAGCCGGGAGGAGTCTCATTTGCGAATAAAGAGAACGTAATAGTACGATCAACTTCTTGTATATCTTCTTGTGAAGAGAAGAATCATTGATATTAGGAGTAACTCTAGGAGACTCATAATGAACAACCCACCTTTCTATGACCGTCTCAACGGATGCTTTTATAGCAGAGTAAGCATCCACAGATGATGAATTAGGCCCCTCGTGAACAAGTATTATGTCGATAATCATTGGGTCCATTAGATTCCTGTGCCAAAAGTTCAAGTTTTCCAGGGCAGCAGGGCGGTCTCCCAATACTAAGTTAAACCATTTGTCATTCTTTCTCCCTCGAGAAACTGTATGGTGGTCGCTTCTTTGGTCATTTGGGTGCAGAGAAGGAATCCTCGAATCCAAAATAATGTGCAAACTCTTTAACAGAAACCGTGATACTATCTGATCCATTTGCAGCACCAATTCTACTATCAGCAGGTAGTCCTATCAATCTCACAACACATCTCGAACGATTATAGATTGTCCTGGACCCAGATGAACACACCAGCACCACCACTACGGGAAGTAATCTCACCCTCACCACAAACTTGAATGAAAATCTACTTATATTATCAGGACTTTAGGAAAAAAATTATCTTCACCAGATGCTTCCATCATTTTCCCATGCTAAGTTCCTCTCAAGAGCATTAGTTAAGTTGAATGGGAGAATCATCAGCTCAAGATGAGTAGAAGATACAAGCTCTACGAAACGCGTTGTTCAAGCAGAGACCTGATCAAACAATCCCTGGATCGTCCATCCTCATAAAAACCACGATTAACATAATACTGACGAACAGATCAAGCATAAATCATCAAGAAAAGTCCCTTACTTTTGATCCAACCACACCAAGAAACCAAACCCACAAAGGAACTAGATCGACGAACCTGCTAGAGAAAGATCGACCCGCCACGTCAAAAAAATAAAAAACGAAACTTTCGAGCAGATCCTGACGAGAGAAAGAGAGAGAGACTTACCCGAGAAAGAAGAAACGGTGGATTTGAAAGCGGAGAAACCGCAAGATTGCGTGCACCAGAAACAGACGCGATCGGAGGAAAATTGGGACAAACCCAAGAAGCTCCCCAAAATTCGCGAGCCCAATTCAACTGGAGCAGCAGGCTATCATCAGATCATCGATCCGTCGATCGAACTCGAGCGCGGAGTGAAGAGGCTTCCGACCCGTCTTAGCATCGAATGACAAGAACACACGGAAATTCACTGCCCATTCTCCCATTGGAGAGAACGAACGCGCTCTCTCTCTCTCTCTCTCTCTCTCTGTGACCCGCTTTCTTGATTTTCTTGCTAGTAAAATAGCACAAGCAAGATCATTATTTTAAGGCCAAATCATTGCACGCCCTCGTCAATGACGTGCCCGGAGATAAGAAAGAGAGCCCCCCCAAAAAGAAAGAGAGAAACAAAAGTTGCAGGGCATTATTACCGGTTTCGCGACCTGATCTCTTTCATGCATTAACGTGCGAGCCTCGTGTCGCTTCCTCAGAAAACTCAAGAAAAAGAAAAGAAAAGAAAAGAAAAGAAAAGAAGGAAACCGTGGTTTGTTCTGTACGCATGGATTTGCGTTCTCGGAGGAATTTGAGATCTGTCCTTATCCGGGGTTGGGCTGCACGATCACGAGCTCTGTCGGGGAAGACGATGAGCGTGTCAAATTAGCTTTCCTTCATTTAGCTTGAGATACAAGTTTGTAAGTTTAAAGTTACCTTTTTTTTTTCTAAGAATGATTTGATGCAGTACTAGGTTTTTTGGTCGGTGATGCAATACCAGGTTGTTTTTTTTTTTTGTCGAAGATGCAATACTAGGTTCAAAATTCGATAAATCAAGTGATCCGGTAAGACCTAACTTATTTGGAAATCAATGTCTGATTTTGGTACGTGGGATAAGTAACAATGAAAGGAAAGGATTGTCGATCTGGTTTCCCCTTCTCATTTCACGTGTCATCAATGTCCTGCGTAGCTGCAGCAGTTCTCTGACGTAGATAATATCTCGTTGTATGTACAATATAGGTGCTATGGTGATTCCGAAGGTGCATGACCCCATTGTATCAATCAATTGCATCATATTATCAGAGGATAAGCATGTAATAAGAAGGAACGTGCTAAAGTTGCTAAAGCCATCTATTCATGTATGGATTTTAAGGATATCAAGACTGATCTGTGCACATCAAGTACGGAATCATCACACGATTATACTTAACATCAATCAAAGTTTTGGCGGAACATGGACATGATCGGCACTACTCTGTTCGCTCTAGCACGAGCATCATTTTATTTGCTCGAATGCACGGACAACATTCGATCATTTTAATACTCCATCCGGTTACAAATCCATGTTGTTGAACTCTGTCCTCAAGTCGTACGTCGCACGTAAAATCAGTCGCCCGTTCCTCTAAACAGCGCGACGAATGCCGATTTAACACAAGATCGCTAACACAAACATGCCATTATGATACAAACGACAAGTCCATGGCCTGGTCGAGAAAGACAAGTTGGGTGACCCCAAGATCAGATTTAGGGAGTAATCAAAGCCCCAAATCACGTTTGTCTTCTATGGTAAAAAGCTACTTGATGGAGATCCTTGGCCTTTTCGAAATTGGACTCGAATCATTAAACATTTGAGGCCCACTAGATGCCCAACAACTGCTCATGATAAACTATGCCTTAATTTCACAAATATGAGTTCTTTAACCCCTTTTCTCTACTTTGCACACAAGCCAAAAGATTATCATCATCTTATTAAAATTGCCCTAAAGAGGGGCCTAATAGCGACGAGATCAAAGTCGCTTCCTTCCATGATTAATTAAGAGGGAAAAAGTAATACAAGAGAACCTTAGTGATCCTTACTATCTGGAACTCTCCTTATATTACCCAATTTCTACTCTGAATCAATGAGAGGCACGCAATTATAATATAGTCGCGAAATGATTTAATTATTTTCCGACTTCCTCCTGCACATAGGTTGCTCATCTAACTCTGCGCACTAAAATGACCCTTTTATTATTCTCGTTTTTTTTTTTTGCGGGGGGGCCAAATTTACAATCTATTGCTCTCGGAAATCGCTGGCAAGACGGCAATGCTTTCGACGGGCAACGTCAATAATAGGACCCCGACTAACTCGACCGCAGTGACTCCTGTACCAAAATTGATTATGCAGATTGCTCTACACAATCAATGCTTTCAAAACCCTAATGCAAAGTAAGCCTGTTGGAAGGGGGAAAAGGCTGCTCTAGAGTTGCTTTAATTATCTCTATGGCCCCCGCCCCCAATCAATTTGCCTTTTTATGAAGTGGGGGTTCCTAGAGGGATGAGAAAGCGCTACTGCCAAATTGGGTTTCATTGCAAACGACAAAATACATAATTGGTGTTTTTGTGATTTCCCTTTCACAAGAAATATTATGGTACCTCGAACAAGATTTGGCCTCCTTCCTTGACCATTTGGAGGCTACCTAGCCTCAGTAAGGACAAACTCAAGAAGCATGGTCCCCCTCGTTGCTTTTGGTTTAATTCGTCTACCAACCTTATTTTTTCATTGTCAATCTTTGGCAAATTTCACACACATTGGTGAAAATAGATGATCGCCCTCGTACAAGCGGGCCGTCATTAAAACATGAAACTCACGTTGCTCCCTCTTTCAACTCTCGCCATGAATGGAGATCCTCATGTTGTGTTGTGTCGAAACGGTGAGGATGTCTATGTCTCGACAGGGGACGGAACGATGGTTTTTTGCATCAAGAGGATGAGCAATTGGCGCACGTGTTAAATGGGTGCCGGAAAAGGAAAAAAATAATTTGATTAAATTAAACACAATCAATCTATACACATAAAAATAAAAGGGAAAATTTCAATTTGGTACCTAAAGTGGGGCTATTTTATCAAAAATGGGTCTAAAGTGGACAAAATGTCAAATAAGCGCCTGAAGTGCCTAATCAGTCTCAAATAGGGGCCCAAAGTGCCCAATTAATCTCAAATAAAGGCTTGGGTTCCCCGGCCGGTCAAATATTCACCGACTGACGAGCACGTTATTGTTCCGGCAATCAGAACAGGAGCATTTTTCGTCTTTTACTTTTTCTTTTTTTTTTTCTCACTTTTCCTTTTCCTCTTCTTTTTTTTTTTTCTTGGTTTCCCTCCGCCGGCCATAACCGGCGCCGGCGGAGGTGGCCGGCGAGGGTCGGGCGGCCCTCGTCCGGCACCGGCGAGGGCCGACCTTGGGTTTTCCTTGCCAGCGTCGGGCGAGGGCGGCCCCCGCCCGATGCCCTGCGAGGGAAACCCGGGGCTGGCCCGCCGACGCCGGCGAGGGCCGCCTCGCTCGGGCCGGGCGGGGCGAGGGCCGCCCGACCCTCGCCGGGACGTCGGACGAGGGCCGCCTACTCGGGCCGGGCGGCGAGGGCCGCTTGACCCTCGCCGGCGTCGGATCTAGCGAGGGTCGCCATCGCCCGCCCAACCCAGGCGAGGGCGGCCCTCGCCAACGTCGGGTGACCCTCGCCCGACCCTCGTCGGCCACCTTCGCCGGTGCCGGCTATGGCCGGCGGAGGGAAACCAGAAAAAAAAAAAAAGAAGAGGAAAAGGAAAAGAGAAAAAAAAAAAGAAAGTAAAAGACGAAAATGCCACTGTTCCGATTGCCGGAACAGTAACGTGCTTGCCGGCCGGTGAACATTTGACCGCCCGGCGAATTCAGGCCCTTATTTGAGACTAATTGGGCACTTCGAGTCCCTATTTGAGACTGAGTGGGCACTTCATATCCTTATTTGACACTTTGTCCATTTTGGACCCCTTTTTGAGAAAATGACCCTACTTTGGGTACTAAATTGAAATTTTCCCAAAATAAAATAAAATGGAAATTATTGTGAAACTTTTTACAAAGCAAGGGATGAGACGGGATCAAGTTTTTCGAATACGAGAGGGGTGATAGGACTGAGTAGATCCGCAGCCAAAAAGTTATATCGTGATTATGAACCTTAGAAAAAGATTTCATCAATAAATGGTTCGGCCGTTAGTTTTCTGTTTTTGTCAAATAATGCGGTAACTGTGAAAAACATGACGAATAAAAACATAATATGTACCATGCCTAAGTTTTTATTAATTCGAATATAATAGATCTCGGTCGTTCAACGGATCTCGGTTTCGACGGTTGAGATAGGATGAACCATGACGCGTCCTCAACCATAGAATCCAACCGAAATAGCCAAGCACATACGTGAGCACGATTTCTCGTACCCCTTTCGGATTCATTGAACCTGGACATTCCCGAATTTCCCTATAAAGAACGACCCTCCGCTTCCATGGCTTCCACAGCCAACCAAAAAACCTCATCATCCATTCATTGGTCGTTCGATTCGATCGAGAGAGAGAGAGAGAGAGAGAGCGCATTAATTTGCAATGGCTCCGGCAATGGCGGCGTCGGATCCCCTGGCGAGGCAGGCCATGTCGCGGGCGGCGAGCGCCGCGCTAGCAGGGGGCGGCGGCGAGGAGCAGGAGAAGCTGAGGCGGAGGAACGCGGAGCTGGAGAGGGAGCTGAGGGAGAGCCGGGAGAGGGAGGAGGCGGCGAGGGAGGAGCTGCGGAGGACGTCGGAGAGGCTGAGGGTGGTGGAGGAGGCGGAGGAGAGGCTCTGCACCCAGCTCGGCGAGCTCGAGGCCGAAGCCGTCCTCCAGGCGCGCGCCTACCACGCCCACATCCTCAGCCTCGCGGACCAGCTCGCGCAGGCCCAGAAATTCCTCCAGGTCGACTCCGTTCTTCCCCGGTCGTGAAATTGTAGCTAGATTTTAGGGCCCTGTGGCTGAGATGTAATCAAAATGCAGTTGTTTTCGTTAGGGAGATTTCGGACGTAGCTAGCAGATTCTTTCTCCCACGACTTGTAGGAGGACGACGAAGAGTTTGATAAGAGCAAATCCATTTCCCCTTTCTTTGTCTCCGTTTCTTCTGGCTTCATGACGTTGCAAATTTCACGCACCCTGAAAATCACTTAAATTCCTGATTGTCGAACTGGTCGTGGACCGTCCTTCGATGGGTAAAACCTCGACATTGGTAAATAGAAAAGCGCCGACTCGAATGTCTTGGGCATAATTTTCGTGGCGCAAATGAAACGTCTGAGAGATTAGTCCCCGCAGGCAAGAGTATTGAAAGGACAAAGACACGGCTGCATTCTTGAAGCCCAACCGAAGAATCGTCAGAGCAAAAACGCCACACGCATCGGAAATCAATTGCATTCGGCATTTGCATCTCAAGATGATCATCAATTTGATTTAACCCACGTACTAGAGACTATAGCAAAGATGAGGGAAAATTACACTCGTACAAGTGTATCTCAAATGGCAAATATTTCTCACGACGGCTAACCAACTGCATCTATCGCTTTCTCGTTCCTTTCAGCTCCGGATCCCTGGAAGCATATAATTTCACGACCACGTTAACGGATACGAAGATCACAAAGGGAACAAATAGTCAGAACGTGTCATGGATTGTACCTCTTAATGTGGTCAAGAATGAGTAGCCTCGGTCCAGGAGGAATTTTCACATCTTGAAGAGCACTGCGGAAGTGACAGTCCAGAGTCATTATAAGATGAGATATGAGCCTTAGAAGATAATTAACGATAAACTTCCCAGGTAATAATGTCCGACGAATTTTCTACGCGCGTAAGTACATGCGGAAAGAATTTAACCAAGAACTTGCCTATCGTTAAGCAGAGGCAAGGTGTTGTCTGTCAAATGGCCTTTCTTGAAATTCTTCTCGTAAGTCTGAAGACCCAGCCTTGTCAACATATTTCTCGTTCTAACATAGTGCACATCTTCCTCTGGTGGTTGGGAGAACTTCTGCCCAAACTGCAGAGGCCCACATGGAATTACCAAGCATTAGACTGCTCCACAATGTCACCGTCACATAAACAACCATGCTCAAATGGTGAGTTTTACAAGGGTCAAATCCCTTCGAAACTTTTAAACTCTCGACTCTTTTTCAAGAAGAAACACCGGGTCCTAATCTTTACCATGTCATCCCATTCTGTTTTAATCAAATCGAAAATGGACAAGATCCCCAGTTTGACTATGTGTAATGATTTGTGGTGAAACTCAGACTGGAATTCTGCTACTCATAACTGCAAAGCTTAAAATTAATATATCTCACCTTAAATAGTCCACCCTGGACGAGAGCAAAAAAGAGTCCTGAAGTAACAGCATTTGCTGCCTGGTTTGGGCCACCCATGCCACTCACCAATGAAAACATGGCACCAGAACCAAAAGCGGCCACCATACTGCGATTACAAGTAAAAGTAATATCACTACATATTAGCTGAGGATCAGCAGATACAGGAGAGTGGAAAACAGGCCACTTCAAGCAAGCAGTCATCTGCCAACCTATTAAAGGACCGAAAGCATGGAGCTAGAGAGAAGATCTTGACAGTTCAGACGTAAACCATCGACCAAGCACGTGATGATGACGAAAGAAAACAGAACGCTAAAATTAGAAAGAAAAGTTTTGAGTGTCGTCTTTAGACATGGCTACGGGCCGGTTTCGGCCCGGGTCAAACCCGGGACCGGCCCATTGACCGGGCCCGCGGTTTGGTACCGGAACCGGCCCGTGGCCTATGGGCCTAGTTCCGGTTCCAACAATTTTGGAACTGGCGGTTCCGGGCCCGATTCCAAAATAAAAAAAACCGCAGCAGGCCTAGGGCAAGTGGCCATTGGCCACTTGGCCTTGGTAAAGGCTAATATATATATATATATATAAAGTAGCCGTTGCCAACTTTAGCCATTTATTATTATTTTTTCCTAAATTTCTTTCTCATTTTTTTCTTATAAATTCTCTCAAATTTTCTCAATACTCTCAAATTCTCAATTCTCTCAAATTCTCTCAATACTCTCAATTCTCTTAAATTCTCTCAATTTTCTCAATTCGAAATTCTCTCAATTTTTTCAATCCGCGCAATTCTCTCTTAATTCTCCCAATCAATTTGCTCAATTCTCTCAATCCACTCGAAAAATGGTAAAAGAACTACATGGATTTTGATTCTTCTATCCCCAAAAAGATATGTAAGGCGCTTAGGGTGCGCATGGAATGCATTCCGGAATAAAAATTCTGTTCCGGAATGCATTCCGGAACAGAATGGCGTTTGTTAAAAAATTTCCGAAATGCATTCTGGAGCGATTTTTGCATTATGGAATAAAAATGCGTTTGTTAAAAATACTTGATTCCAGAATGCATTCTTGATTCCGGAATGCATTTTTGGCAAGAAAAAGAGAAACTACTTTTTGTAGCTTCTTGATTCCGGAATGCATTCTCCCTATTTTCTCATAATTTTTTTTTTCAGAAAATGCATAAAAACTGAAAAATTCTAGAAAAAATCATAAAAATTTCCAGAAAATAAAAAAAAATTCAGATTTCGGGAAAATATGAAATTTGGTGAATTTTTTTTAAAAAAATCAAAAAAATCAAAAATTTCAAAAATTTCAAAACTTCACAGAATAGCTTAAAACACATGTAGTAACCCACTTTGAGTGAAATTTAATTTTTTTGAGCTGCCAAAAAAAATAAAAAATTTCAAAACTTCACAGAATGGCTTAAAATACCTGTGGCCACCTACTTTGAGTGAAATTTAAAATTTTTGAGGTGCCAAAAAAAAAGAAAAATAATAATAAAATAAAAATTTTCAAAACTTCACAAAATGGCTTAAAATACCTATGGCCACCCACTTTGAGTGAAATTTAAATTTTTTGAGGTGCCCAAAAAAAATTTAAAAAATAAAAAATTTTAAAACTTTACAAAATGGCTTAGAATACCTGTAGCCACCCACTTTGAGTAAAATTTAAATTTTTTGAGGTGCCTAAAAAAAAAATTCAAAACTTCACAAAATGGCTTAGAATACCTGTGGCCACCCACTTTAAGTGAAATTTAAATTTTTTTAGGTGTCCAAAAAAAATTAAAAAAAATCAAAAATTTACAGAATGACTTATAATACGTGGCCACCCACTTTGAGTAAAATTTAAATTTTTTAGGTGCAAAAAAATCAACAAATCAAAAGCAGATTTATGTTCCGAAATCAATTTCGGGAAATTAGTCATGTTTTACCAAACAGATTTCTCCTCCAGAAATCAATTTCTGGCAAGAATTCCAGAAATCAATTTCTGGCAAGAATTTGATTTCTGGAGGAGAATGCCATTCGCACCCTTAATGATAATTTATTAAATTCAAGCCCCATCTCTTTCTCTCTTTTTTTCCCCAAATTTGATTAGAATGTACATTTTGATTACATTTTATATTGAATAATTCATTATTTCATAATTTGGTAATTCATTATTTTTTTATTTCATAATTTATTTTTTTAATTTTTATCGGCCGGAACCGGAATCGGCCCGGAACCGCTGGTTCATACATGGCCACAAACCGGAACCGGTTCCAGTTCCGTGGCCATGTCTAATCGTCTTCAACCTACATGCTAAGAATGAAGCTACACCAGTCAGACCAAAAGAAGAATTTGCTACAGTGTCTTGTGAAGCTTCTTCAGAAAAGAAGAAACAAGAAGTTTGATAAAAGAAATAAACACACAATGTTTAATTGCCATGCACCATTGCTGAATGTAGGCACAGATAAGGTATCTAATCATTTAAAGTTCAGAGTGAACAACTCAGCCTTCAACAAAGCTTGGGCTATTGGAGAACCCAATAAGCACAAACAAATCGGAGAGAAATTGATTAGATAAAGCAAATAAGACAAGCAGAGTGGAGAAGAATGACGTAGCAACTTCCCTTCAACCCTTTCAGGGTTGTATTAGTTAATCTCACTGAAGACACACCCCAAGTTTGTCATTTATGGCCATCTAACGATTTGCAACAGAGAATTATGCTCATTAAACAATTTGTGAGAGTATTGTTAATACTAACCACATTAAGAAAAGGAAAATGAACTCTGTAAAATAATCTCATTTGACAATAATCTTTCTACAAACTGAGTAGCTGAAGCAAAGCTATATTTCGCACCAAAAAGGTAAGCTTCTGTCATTATCTAGACTGAAGGAAGCCTAATTGAAACAGTACTAATATGAGAACTGGAAACTTAAACTGCAATGAAATGAGATGGTATTTATTTAACCTGCGACACTCAATAACAAAAAGAGCCCACGACCAAACTCTGCTGCTATGAGCAGAAAAACAACTGTCTAACGGTTGTTCACTACACACATAAAAATAAAATAAAACGGAAATTATTGTGAAACTTTTTACAAAGCGGGGGATGAGACGGGATCGAGTTTTTCGAATACGAGAGGGGCGATAGGACTGAGTAGATCCGCAGCCAAAAAGTCATATCGTGATTATGAACCTTAGAAAAAGATTTCATCGATAAATGGTTCGACCATTATTTTTCTGTTTTTGACAAATAATGCGGTAACTTTGGTTCCTCGACGGTGAAAGACATGACGAATAAAAACATAATATGTACCTTGCCTAAGTTTTTATTAATTCGAATATAATAGATCTCAGTCGTTCAACGGATCTCAGTTGGGACGGTTGAGATAGGATGAACCATGACGCCTCCTCAACCATAGAATCCAAGCGAAATAGCCAAGCACATACGTGAGCACGATTTCTCGTACCCTTTTCGGATTCATTGAACCTGGACATTCCCGAAAAGCCCTATAAAGAACGACCCTTCGCATCGATGGCTTCCACAGCCAACCAAAAAACTCATCATCCATTCATTGGTCGTTCGATTCGAGAGAGAGAGAGAGAGAGAGAGAGAGAGAGAGAGAGAGAGCACGTAAATTTGCAATGGCTCCGGCAATGGCGGCGTTGGATCCCCTGGCGAGGCAGGCCCTGTCACGGGCGGCGACTGCTGCGCTAGCAGGGGGCGGCGGCGATGAGCAGGAGAAGCTGAGGCGGAGGAACTCGGAGCTGGAGAGGGAGCTGAGGGAGAGCCGGGAGAAGGAGGAGGCGGCGAGGGAGGAGCTGCGGAGGACGTCGGAGAGGCTGAGGGTGGCGGAGGAGGCGGAGGAGAGGCTCTGCACCCAGCTTGGCGAGCTTGAGGCCGAGGCCGTCCTCCAGGCGCGCGCCTACCACGCCCGCATCCTCAGCCTCGCGGACCAGCTCGCGCGGGCCCGGAAGTTCCTCCAGGTCGACTCCGTTCTTCCCCCGTCGTGAAATGCGGTTGGTCCTTGCCGCACAATTTTTCCCACGTTTCCTCGCCTGTCCTGAGGAGAGGGGATCGAGATGTATAAGTAAATGTCCGGTTTTGCGGACGATCATTGTCAATTGTAGCTAGATTTTAGGGCCCTGTGGCTGAGATGTAATCGAAATGCAGTTGTTTTCGTTAGGGAGATTTCGGACGTAGCTAGCAGATTCTTTCTCCCACGACTTGTAGGAGGACGACGAAGAGTTTGACAAGAGCAAATCCAATTCCCCTTTCTTTGTCTCCGTTTCTTCTGGCTTCATGACGTTGCAAATTTCATGCACCCTGTAAATCACTTAAATTCCTGATTGTCGAACTGGTCGTGGACCATCCTTCGATGGGTAAAACCTCGACATTGGTAAATAGAAAAGCGCCGACTCGAATGTCTTGGGCAAAATTTTCGTGGCGCAGATGAAACGTCTGAGAGATTAGTCCCCGCAGGCAAGGGTACATGATGGCAATGCAGCAGGTGACAAAAACTGAACTGCAAAGCTTCAATTATTCTCCCTGTATTTTGCTTCCCATCAGGATTCTCAAGTCATAGAATAAGCTCGGACTTCAGCCCGTTAATGCGTATTGAAAGGACAGAGACACGGCTGCATTCTTGAAGCCCAACCGAAGAACCGTCAGAGCAAAAACGCCACACACATCGGAAATCAATTGCATTCGGCATTTGCATCTCAAGATGATCATCAATTTGATTTAACCCACGTACTAGAGACTATAGCAAAGATGAGGGAAAATTACACTCGTACAAGTGTATCTCAAATGGCAAATATTTCTCACGGCCGCTAACCAACTGCATCTATCGCTTTCTCGTTCCTTTCAGCTCCGGATCCCTGGAAGCATATAATTTCACAACCACGTTAACGGATACGAAGATCACAAAGGGAACAAATAGTCAGAACGTGTCATGGATCGTACCTCTTAATGTGGTCAAGAATGAGTAGCCTCGGTCCAGGAGGAATTTTCACATCTTGAAGAGCACTGTGGAAGTGACAGTCCAGAGTCATCACAAGATGAGAAATGAGCCTTAGAAGATAATTAACAATAAACTCCGACGAATTTTCAATGCGCGTAAGTGCACGCGGAAAGAATTTAACCAAGAACTTGCCTATCGTTAAGCAGAGGCAAAGTGTTGTCTGTCAAAAGGCCTTTCTTGAAATTCTTCTCGTAAGTCTGAAGACCCAGCCTTGTCAACATATTTCTCGTTCTAACATAGTGCACATCTTCCTCTGGTGGTTGGGAGAACTTCTGCCCAAACTGCAGAGGCCCACACGGAATTACCAAGCATTAGACTGCTCCACAATGACATCGTCACATAAACAACCATGCTCAAATGGTGAGTTTCACAAGGGTCAAATCCCTTCGAAACTTTTAAACTCTCGACTCGTTTTCAAGAAGAAACACTGGGTCCTAATCTTTACCATATCATCCCATTCTGTTTTAATCAAATCGAAAATGGACAAGATCCCCAGTTTCACTATGTGTGATGATTTGTGGTGAAACTCAGACTGGAATTCTGCTACTCATAACTGCAAAGCTTAAAATTAATATATCTCACCTTAAATAGTCCACCCTGGACGAGAGCAAAAAAGAGTCCTGAAGTAACAGCATTTGCTGCCTGGTTTGGGCCACCCATGCCACTCACCAATGAAAACATGGCACCAGAACCAAAAGCGGCCACCATACTGCGATTACAAGTAAAAGTAATATCACTACATATTAGCTGAGGATCAGCAGATACAGGAGAGTGGAAAACAGGCCACTTCAAGCAAGCAGTCATCTGCCAACCTATTAAAGGACTGAAAGCATGGAGCTAGAGAGAAGATCTTGACAGTTCAGACATAAACCGTCAACCAAGCAAGTGATGATGAGGAAAGAAAACAGAACGCTAAAATTAAAAAGAAAAGTTTCGAGTATCGTCTTCAACCTACATGTTGAGAATGAAGCTACACCAGTCAGACCAAAAGAAGAATTTGCAACAGAGTCTTGTGAAGCTTCTTCAGAAAAGAAGAAACAAGAAGATTGATAGAAGGAATAAACACGATGTTTAATTTCCATGCACCATTGCTGAATGTAGGCACAGATAAGGTATCTAATCATTTAAAGTTCAGAGTGAACAACTCAGCCTTCAACAAAGCTTGGGCTATTGGAGAACCCAATAAGCACAAACAAATCGGAGAGAAATTGATTAGATAAAGCAAATAAGACAAGCAGAGTGGAGAAGAATGACGTAGCAACTTCCCTTCAAACCTTTCAGGGTTGTATTAGTTAATCTCACTGAAGACACACCCCAAGTTTGTCATTTACAACCATCTAATGATTTGCAACAGAGAATCATGCTCATTAAACAATTTGTGAGAGTATTGTTAATACTAACCACATTAAGAAAAGGAAAAAGAACTCTGTAAAATAATCTCATTTGAATATAATCTTTCTACAAACTGAGTAGCTGAAGCAAAGCTATATTTTGCACAAAAAAGGAAGCTTCTGTCATTATCTAGACTGAAGGAAGCCTAATTGTAACAGTACGAATATGAGAATTGGAAACCAAAACTGCAATGAAATGAGATGGTATTTATTCCTGCGACACTCAATAACAAAAAAGAGCCTTCGTGACCGTAATTTCCTGCTATGAGCAGAAAAACAACTGTCTAACAGAGAATGGAAGTGCACAAAGGAGACTCGGCCAGCAATTTGTCACTTGACTTAACATCACAGGTTACATAAACTTAGTTCTTTTTTTTTGTCAGAACATAAACTTAGTTCACGCGTCCACCAATTGGCCGAAAAAAAAATGTCAGACACAGCTGAATGGTATTTTAGTTAGAGTATTGCCGTAGTGAACGACCAAATGCAATAATAATCTCTTAAAAAGAATCCATACACAGTGTCTTGTAAAATCTTAAGCAAGTGTACCTAGATATTACATAGCACTTGCTGTATAGGAACTTATTTTTGCCAAAACTGCAGATAATAATCATCTTCAAGAAGATACCTTCATAAGAAACACCAACTGATCTTTCACTTTTCTCTATATAAATGAATCTTTAGGGCAAGAACATGCAGGTCTACAACCATGACTCGAATTTTTATCAAGTTTCCAATAATGACAACCAGCGATTGGCAATCCAAAGTAAAGATAACTCAAGAAACATAAGAGGGTCAGATATATTATTCCAACCAGAACTCCATACTTCTGATAGCTATAGGCAAGCCTGCTAAGAGCAGCAGAATACTCTGATTGCTTACATACTTCAATTAGTATTTTCTGCAGGGTAACATGCATGAAATTAGAAAAAAGCTAATGTGCAAAAACCTAATAAACTTACTTGCAGGTAAGATCCTATCATATGGAACCTATTTCACTCTTCTTTAAATGAACGGCGATAATAACCCAAAAGGGAGCGGAAATTAAGTGTACCAGATAAGCACCTAAAAACCCTACCAGATATTTTGATCCAGAGAAAAACAAGAGGTAAAAATGATTACCTGGACTGAACATCCTCCTTCCCTCTCAGCCTCTTCATGACACAAGATAAGCCTGCATTGACACCAGTCATGACAGCGAAGTTGCGAGCTTGTACCAAGGGACCTCCCGATAAAGCCTGCAGCAAAGGAACACGCTTACCACATTTTCACGAATCCCTACCCGTCATCGGCCAGTATACTGATTAAGTCAACGGAACGGTCCCCCTTGGACCAAGCAACTGGCTAAAGTTAAAGGCAAAATCTGAAAAGTCGTTTGACACATCTCTTCTCCTGAGCAAGATTTGCACTCTAGATGCGTGAATTCGATTCCTGACAATCTCAGTACTCAATGTATCCCTTAAAAAACCACATTACACAGGTCAAAGAATTGATTGAGATAACATAACAACATCTTGAGCTCACAATGTGACATTGCGAACTCTCAGAGTTCACAATTTGGTCGTCATCATTCCACCAACGCGAGGCAAAAAGAAAAAAATCAATTGCACGAATTCGTGTGTATCTTGTCACTAGCAAACCAACCCGACGAATTCTATTGAAGAAACAAGAAGCAACCCAAAAGCACTCGTCCCAAACGGAAACGAGAGGAACACATAATTAGCTCGAAACAAGTTCCGACCTGAGCTTGCTTGAGCGAGGCCATGGCCTCGGGGTTGAGATTGGCCTGGGGAGGGGGAGCGAAAGAGGAGGAGACGTCGTTGGTGAGGGTCCCCATGAAGGCGCCGATGGTGGCGCCCTGGAGGCCACCGGTGGCGGTGACGACGGCGGCCTCGACGGGCAGGGACTGCTTGGACAGCCACGCCTTGAACCCGGCCTCCAGCTCCTTGAAGCGAGCCTGCAGCTGCTCGACCGGGTTCTGCGGAGGCGCGAGCTTGGACACCATCATCCCCTCCTTGCCCTGCTCCATTTGCGGCGAACTCGCGAGGGTTTCGCCGAGGATGGTGGTGCTCTGCGTCCTGTTGGCTCGGCGACTGCGGTTAAGAGGATAGATTTTAGAGAGAGAGTATGTTCGGCAGAAATTCGGATTTTGTAATGATCCTTTTTCGGATTGTCCGTTTGTTTAAACCTCTGCCTCCGGTCCGACCGGGACCCGCCTCTTTCTCGAGGCAATACGGGATGACGACGGAAACGGTCTTGAATTTTAGCTTGACGTGTAATATGATTTTTGAAATTTTAATTTGTTCGATGTAGCTCACGAACTATAATTCAATATGTATTATGATCCCCGAACTTTTAATCTGTTCAATATGGTCATAAACTTTTGGTAATGTTCAAGTTAGTTCATGGATTATATGAAAATGATCAATGTTAACCTTCAATTAATTCAAGTTCAGGGAAAACAATGAATAATTTCATATAATTTAGGGACAAGATTGAATATTTATCAAAAATTCAGAAATAATATTGAACAAATTAACAGTAAATGGACGATATTATACATTAGGCTCAAGTTCAAGGATCACATTAAATAAATTAAAAATTTAGGGATTACATTATGTATTAGGCCAAAGTTCGGGAATCATTTGAGTCATTTCTTGGATAATACAAATGCTATCTTTTGCAATAGCGTTTAGTTTGGTTTGGTTGACGTAGATAAAATTTCATCTTAAATAAGAATCAATTAACTAATTTATATTATAACATTGATCGAGTCTATGACTAGCCAATGACTACCACCACGGCAGTCATTGTCTCCGTCAATGCTACTATCTCGATCACTCGTGAGAGACGGAAAATAAATGTCATTATACCGTTCGATGGTATATTTGATAAACAACTTGCTTCGGTGAAATCATACTGAGTATCCATAGAAGGGTAGATCTTATTATCATGGGCGGCGAGGAACTCGAAAAGTTTATCTTGAGATGAGAAACGGGGATTCCGAAATCACCAGTGCCGCTCTAATTGTAGCCTTTTATAGGTTTAGGACAGTTTAGATAAGTACCCATTTTAAACAACTAAAAAGAACATCTAAACACTAATAGGCTCATTTTTGTCATGCGCATGAAATTATAAAATTAAGGGTTAGTACCACGAAAAATCTCAAACAGGTACACCTGTGACAAATTTACCCTCGATTTGTTTTCGTCAAATTTTACTGTCAAATTGCTTTATTAAATGACACTCAGCAGTTGACTGATATGTCGATTTTATATTTTACCTTCCGTTTATCACAAGTGTATCAGTTTGTAATTTTTTGTAGTATTAATCTAATAGTTTTCGAAGGGTAAATTTGTTACAAATGTACCAGTATGGGGTTTTTAGTGGTCAAAATATTAGTTTGGGGTGAATTTGTCACATGTGTACTAGTTTAGGATTTTTTTTGGTTAAAAAATTAGTTTTGAGTAAAATTGTTATAGGTGTATCAGTTTGGAATTTTTCTTGGTATAAATCTTAAAATTAATATCTTCAAATATAAAAATTCTTTTATTAAGGGTTGTGTGCTGCTAAATGTACCAAAAGACAATCGTTAACGTGACTGCAAAAAGAAAAAAAAAAAGAATTACTCCAATCCCTATTGATGTAAAAAAAATGAATATCTTAAGGATCTATTTGAGATTTTGTAAGGTAAACGCCTGCGTTATTATGTCATCGACCTTATTTTCTTAAAAAAAAAAATCTAATTCGCCACGCCATGAACACCAGGGGCGGTCAAAATCAATCTCTCCATTGATTTGACTTGGAGAGAGAGGTTTAGCTTAGCAGAAAAGAATAAATTGTAAAGTCACAACATGGTGAAATATTTGAGTGTAATTATTTCACGAAAAATTTAATGATAAAAGAAATTATTTTTCAATAAAATATTTTTCACGAATACAGTTAATTTTTTTTATTTGGTGATATATGATCGAAAACGTTTTCCTGATGTTTGGATCTCATTGGGAAATGATTTCAATCTCATTACTTTATCTCAAGCAAAAAACAAAATCTAATTTTTAATGATTTATATATTTTTTAAAAATCAAAATTTTAATTATTTTTTTTATATTTTTTTTAAAAATAATTTTTATTATTTTAGTTTTCCTTTGTTTGGGAAACCATGGATTTTTTTTTACTTATTGTTGCAGTGCTAGAGATACTAAAATTCGTCTGCTAAATTGATTTTACTAAGTAAGGAGGTACTCTATAATAAATCATTTAAGTTAGTGAGCACGTCTAAACACCAAACAACGCCACTACATCACACTATTTAATGAAGAGAGTGGAAATTAATTATGTTTTGATATGTGGGATAAATGTAGTTTGTGCTGCTCGATATGGTATAAAATCTTGATAACCACTTAAAATTAATTTTCTTCATTTCGTGCACGGGATATATTAACATTAGAAGCTATTAGGAAATGTGTCGACACAAATAAAATGACCAACTTTTGGTTATTACTGATGAGTAGTAAGCTCGGTTGATGAAAGTAAGGTCTGGCCAAAGCAAAAGTCAACAATGATACAAAATAAACGATAATTCACCAATAAAGTCGTTGACAACAAATATTGCAGAGGTTAGTCGATGAGATCCTTCATTAGTCGACAGTTTGAAAGAAATCGACATGTATCAGACAAAGTCATTGATAATAGATTATTGCGGATTTTGCTAAGTGTTAAAACGGTGCTATTTATGAACCAAGCAGAGGTTTGCCAACACATCAATCGAAGACAAAGACGGTGGATTGGTAAAAGCACATGGTATAGAATTGTGGGAAATCACCGTTAGATGATAGAGAATTGTGGTTAGAATCTCGGAAAGTGTAGATAGTCCTATAAAGTTTTGTTTGGAATCAAATACCATTACTTTTTGTAAATATTTGTTAGTGGTGGGATATAAAAAAAATATAATGATAATCATTTGAGGGATAAAACCATTTAATCACATAACTTCTTTTAATATATACACATTTACTTTCGTCTTTAATTTTCCTGCGAATTTACTCTTCCTAGATTTTTTTTTTTTGATATGAAAAACGGATAAAGCCGAAAATAAAAATTAATATCTAGAATTTACAATCCCTGTTTAATCACCTAATAGTATCTAAAGGCTTATCAATTCTAGAGCTAGCAAGCTAGATAATAAGATGATTTCCTTCTAAAACATTACGTTGCATTTAAACTCAAAGTGAGATCTCGATAGTCTTATGATATCTTTAAGTGAAGTAGGGCCAACATTATCAATTATAAGCTCTAGACTAACAAGTTAGAGTCAATCTCAATGACAATCATGTGAAAACCAAATTGTTTTGCTAAATTGTGTCCTAATTACAATGCCTAAAGTTTTGCTTGTGTAGACAAATACATTCCAAAGAAATGACAAAACCACCAAGCTTTTAATTGTTTGTACATTTTCCTTTATAAATCTTGCAACCTTTAATATCTGACGCGCTTCATGTTTCTACTTTCACATCTATTTGCTTCAACGAATGTTTGCTAGACAATTAAAATCAACTTGAATTGCTCATATAATTAACACCTCCTCAGTGATGATTTTCTTTTGATAGTGTCCTTCATGACATTCGAATGATAATGATTTTGTCTGGTATGCTTTCCCTACCAGGGCACCTGTTATAACATATTCCGTTAGATGTGCAGTGGTCATTTCGGAATCTTCTTGCTTGATATATTTACAGCCTCAGAATTGCACGGTGAGCTTTCGTAGCTCGGAGCACCCCATCGATCTGGCAAGCTTTCGTAGCCCAGAGTTTTTTTTTTCTTGCCCGGTGAGCTTTCGTAGCCCGGAGCACCCCATCGACTTGGCGAGCATTCATAGCCCAGAGTCTTTTTCCTTGCACAGTGAGCTTTTGCAGCCCGGAGCACCCCTTTGACCTAGCAAGCTTTCACAGCCCAGAGTCTTTTTCCTTGCACGGTGAGCTTTTGCAGCCCGGAGCATCCCTTCGACTTGGCGAGCTTTCGCAACCCAAAGTCTTTTTCATTGCACGGTGAGCTATTGCAGCCTGGAGCACCCCTTCGACCTGGCGAGCTTTCGCAGCCTAGAGTTTTTTTCCTTGCACGGTGAGCTTTCGCAGCCCGGAGCGCCTTATCGACCTGGCAAGCTTTCGCAGCCCAGAGTCTTTTTCCTTGCACAGTGAGCTTTCGCAACCCGGAGCGCCTTATCGACCTGGCGAGCTTTCGCAACCCGGAGTTTTTTTTGTTTACATGGTGAGACTTTATTTAGCCAAAAGCTTGTTCTTACATGGCATGGCTATCCTTTCATTCAGCCAAAAGCCCGTTCTTACATGGTATGGCTTCCTTCTCGGTCAAGACCATTCTTACATGGTAAGACCTTATTGAATAAAAGGATTCCCCTGTTAGGTGGGTATCGGCAAAAAAAAAAAATCCAAGTCAAATCATCTCTCATGCATCTTTTCATGCCCTTCATGAACAAAATTTAAGTGTCTCTTATCTTTGAAAGGAACCTCTTTGAGCTCCCCTTCAAAGAGGGGCAGCTGTTGACACCTAACTTTTACCTAATCATTTAGGGTTTTATCGAATAGAAAATTAGGGTTTAGTTTTTAACCCCTAAATAAAAATATTTTCATTAAATTGCATGGTATATAGACATTACGTGCATTTGCATTAATAGGGCCTATTAGGACATATTCATAAATAAAAAAAAAGGTTTTTCGGGCCAAGTCAGTTGGCCTATTCTTTTTCTTTCCTTTTTTATCTTCGCGTGGCCCATCTTTTGTTTTCTTTCCTTTTTTATTTTTCGCGCTGGTCGGTCCTTTCCCCCCACGCTCGGCCCGCACACTGTTCACCCTCCTCTCAGCTTGTTCAACGCTTATGAGCATACGGGGGGAGGGACGGAACAGAAGCCTGAACGAAGCAAAGAGGCAGAAGACGGAGCAGAAGCCAGAGGCACGGAGGTGGCAGCGTGATCTGCGGGTCTAGAGATTGGCTGGCCGCGGTAGGCTAGTGGTGGCAGGGGCCATGCGAGCCTGCCTGCCAGCCGGCCTTAAATTGGAGGAGCAAGGGAGAAAAGGGAGAGAGAGAGAGAGAGAGAGAGAGAGAGAGAGAGAGAGAGAGAGAGAGAGAGAGAGAGAGAGAGAGAGAGAGAGAGAGGATGAGAGCGAGATCTGAGGAAGAGAGTGGAGAGCTTGCTCGTAGCCCGGCCGCGCCCGAGTGTTGTTCGACGACTCCTAGCTGCGCCACTCAAGCCTGCGGCCTCCCTTTCGCGCCCACGGTGGATCTCAGTTTTTTTTTTTTTTCAAAAGTCTTGAGTTGATTTCCCGATGATTCCGGCTCGGAGGAGTGCGAGGCGATCGGACACAGTCCGATCTACCGTGTTCGCCCTCATTTGCCCCAGCTGAGCCGGATAGGGAGCGCCGCAAACAGTCGCTTCTCCTTCCCCTATTCTGGTATGCATCCCTTGTTTTCGGGCTCACTGGCCGGAGCTAGCGGTTGTCTAGTTCGCGCGAGTTCCGGCCGGTGACACCTCGAGCTTGATCCTGCTTGTCTATGCGTTTTTATGTGTGAATTTCGGACGCGTTTAAGCCTCGATTGAGTCAAAAATTTCTCATTTTCGCCATGTGCTCCAACTGTTTAGTGCTTTGCCTAAGTGAGATCCTTGCGTCGTTTTCTTTTGTGTGTGATGCGTTTTCGAACCTTGGTGTCTCTCCCTTCCCTTGTGGTGTCTTGATTGCTCGCTGAGAAGTTTTGGTGTGTCGCCGACGAACGAGGACGGTCTGCATTCGTAGATACATGAGCGGGGGCTCGGTTTGACCAGTCCCTCGCCGGGACTTGGCTGGTTCATGGCCGTCCAGCTTCTCATCGGGGCTTGGTTGGCTCAGCTCAGTCTCTGCTTGTGGTTCGGGTGGCGAAGGAGGTTCACGGTTCGGGCCGCCGTCCGGGCGTGATTGCGGGAGGAAGCGGCCAGACAGTCCCTCGCCGGGACCTGGCTGGTTCGCGGTTGTCTAGCCCTTTGTTAGGGCTTGGATGGCCTCGGTCGGTCGCCGGTCACCGCAGCAATGACCTAGGTGGAGGATGCTCGCCGCCCCTCGTCAGGGGCGGTGATTGAATAAGGTTAGGTACCAAAAGGGCACTAGTTGGTTAATTAGTGTAATCAAGTTCACGTATCCATTAAGTCTCTGGTTCGTAGAAGTGAAGCATTTCTCCCGTGCTTTACTTGGGTGTCTAATCGATCCACCAAAAACTGATTAGTGGCGACTCCTAGATGAAATTGATTTGCATGTTAACAACTTAAATCTTAAGTCGCGAGTTGGTATAGGCTTGAGAGAGCTTGAGCTAGGTTTAACTTAGTAATCCATTAGCTAAACCCTCTAGACGACGAGGCCGGATCGGGGAGGTCGCGACAGGCCTGTGGCGAGACTTGAGCTCACCTGTGGCCGGTCATCGGCCGTGGCCGTGGCCGGCGACCTGCTGGAGAAGAAGAAGAAGGAAAAAGCAGAAAAAGAAAAAGAAAAAAAAATATTTTTAAAAAATATGAAACGTATTGCAAAAAGGAAACTCTTTTCCATACTGAACAACGGAAAATATTTTCTGAGACTTTTTCAGATTTCAGCCGAACACCGGAAAATTATGCAATTTTTCAGGAAAATAACTTCTCGGAAAATATTTTCCGTCAAACGAACGGAGCCTTAATATCTGACACGCTTCATGTTTCTACTTTCGCATCTATTTGCCTTACCGTCCAAAAGCAACAAAGAACTCAATTTCGTCGAATCTCATCCATTTCATCATTTTTCTCGAGATATTTCACTTTTTGGTAAAACAGAACAAGAATTTCACAAACCGTGTTAAGGTCGGAACAATGTGTGTTCCTGATCTAATCATTGACTAAAGTGATTGACCCAAACGGATTTATAGATATCAACCATGTCCGTAGAAACTCTTTCTTTTTAAAAGTTACGGACATGCTTCAAGAGTGTAGCTAAGGAGCGTTTAAAGAGCACTAACAAAACATACACAATAACCATTTCAAGATTCACGAAACATTTTTTATCTTAACGGAAATGCACGAATTCCCTCTTGACTTTCGATAGATCTAGACAAACATAGCCATCTTCCCCAATACTCGATTAAACTAACCAATGCACCGCGGACACCCGAATTCAAATGCGCGAAATTAAGATCCAAACAACTCGTTCCTTTTCTTCCGAAATCCAAAGAATCGAGTGCATGCATTTCCTAATCCACACCCACATACATCCGGTCCATACAGCAATAATTATTCTCTACTAAAAAGCGAGGAAGCAGAGAGAGAGAGAGAGAGAAAGAGAAACAGGAAAGGCCACTACGCGCGGTCCGCAAAATCGAACTCGAATTTCTCTCGCCACCACGGCCTTTAATTAACATCGCGTGCCGCACTTGCGCTGTGTCTCTCCCTCTTAAGCTTTTGCCCACAGTATTCTTTGTCCTCTTTCGCTTCCCACCGAAGCTCGGAGGGAAAAGGGGGCGGCGTGCTACGGCTTCGATCGTCATCCATGGAGGGTAGCGTCCTCGATTACGTCCTGGTCCCGGCGGGCCTGGTCGTGCTGCTGGCGTACCATGCGTGGCTGCTCCACCGAGTCGTCAGGTACCCGAACAAGACCATCATCGGCGTCAACGCCATCAACCGCCGCTTCTGGGTTCAGGCCATGATGGAGGTCTGTTTTGCTGTTCCTTCCGATCACCCGGTTCTCGCCGCGGTTTCCTTTTCTTTTGATTCCGGGCGGATGAATCGATGCGCCCCGATGTCATGAAGTTCTCGTTTTCCAGCCCCACAGAGATAGGTTATCTCGTTTCTTCTGTTGATCAGCGTGTGACTGTGCATGTTTTGTTGCGATGGAAATGGCAGGACTCGCCCAAGAACGGAGTGCTCGCGGTGCAGACGCTGCGCAACAACATAATGGCGTCGACCCTCCTGGCCTCGACGGCGATCATGCTCACCTCCCTCATCGGCCTCCTGATGACTGGCGGCAACGGCGACCGGAGCTTCTTCTTCGTCTTCGGCGACAAGAGCCCCCGCAGCTTCTCCGTCAAGTTCTTCGCCATCCTCGTCTGCTTCCTGATCGCCTTCCTCTTCAACGTCCAGTCCGTCCGCTACTACAGCCACGGCAGCATCCTCGTGAACGCGCCCTACAAGAAGATGTCGCCCCACCACCGGCACCACCAGGTGACGGCGAACTACGTGGCCGCCACCGTGAACCGGGGGAGCTACTTCTGGTCCCTCGGCCTCCGCGCGTTCTACTTCTCGCTGCCCCTGTTCCTGTGGATCTTCGGGCCGGTCCCGATGTTCGTGAGCTGCTTCGTGCTGGTGGCCATGCTCTACTTCCTGGACGTGACGGTTGACTTCGGATGGGCCGTCGTTCCGCACAACGAGGAGGAGGACGACCACGTCGGCGGCGGAGGTAATGGAGACGAAGAAAGTGGTTAGATGACAACGTTAGTGGCGACAAAGATCGGTCTATAAATTAAACACTCGACCTAATACGATGGATTCGACTCCCAATAAGAATCTGTCGTGTCGCCTTCATGTGTCGAGTTCATAGATCGATCTTCGAGCATTTTAGTGCATTAAAAATACCTTAGAATAAATTGGGCAGTGTAGGTTTCAATCCAAGTTGAAATGGAGCTGCCCAATACTTTGTCGTTGCTTTTTACTTCTGTCGTCTGTTGCAGCAAGCATAGTCTGCGTACCTTTTCCTCTAGCGGTGGCAAAGAGAAGGATTTGAACTTGTACTGTTGCGTTTCTTTTGCATAATGTTCCCATCATTTCAGCAGGTGATTTCGTCGGGAATGCCTCTGTAATATCATTTCGCGCGGACTACACACGAATGTAATGTAGTGGCTTTTAGGGATGAGCAAAAGGAACCGCTCGGATCGGATGGAACCGGCCAGTTCTGGATGGTTCCCGAAGGACACCGGTCCGGTTTTTGGTTCCGATCGGTCTGGTTTTTGGTTCCTTAGGTGGAACTCGGACCGATTTCTTTTTTGTTTTTTTTTTATGTTTTTACAAATCTGTAAAAAGCCATAATTCTTCACAAACCCTCGTTTCTGTTCAAGTGAGAGAAACATAGATTGCAACAAAGAAATCAGAATGCGATGATCCACAGGCGATTCGTATGCGACTCGTTCGTCGTACTTGATTCAACAACCCTCCTTTACTAAAGAGGTAGGGGAAGGTTTAGAGCTTTTGATTCCTCCTCCAGATTACCTCTTCTTTGAATACATGACAACACAACTTCTTCGTCACCCTATGAAGTTTCAGTCGAAACTCCACCCAGAAAGAAAACAAGAATGGCCTTGCGTCCGATGAAGTTGCACTGAAACAACACGATTGAACACGACAACAAAAACCAGCTTCCACAATCTCAAAATCAGTTCTTTCGAAAAGCACATCAAGTCAAAGCACACCACAAGCAAAAGGAAAAATTGATCAAACACATACAAACGCAAACAACCAATGAGTCACTCATGCAATCACCCAAGTGAGAATGGCCACGAGGCAATTACCTCGAAGCCCCAAAATTACCCGTCCCCGTCGAACTCCAGGTCTTTGCTTTCATCGTTCTGTTAACACTCGTAATGGCTCCTTAGGCATTTTCTGTTAATTCATACTCATTCCGGGAAAATTACCAATTCAGTCCTCAACCTATTGCATTTGTGCCAATTCAGTTCTCAACCTTTCAATTTGGCCAATTCAGTCCTAAACCTTTTACAAACCAGCCAATTCAGTCCTTTTGGCCGGCCGGCGCTGACGTGGCCGCCGGCCGGCGCCACGTGGCAATATTTTAATATTTTATTATTATTATTTTTGAATTTTTTTCTTTTTTTTTTCTTTTCCTTCTCCCCCCTGGCCTGTCCGGCCAAGGGGGAGGCTCGCCGGCGAGGGCACAGCTCCGGCGAGGTGAGCTGGGCCCTCACCGCCGCTGGGCGAGGGTGAGGGCGGAGCTCGCCCAGCCATGGCGAGTTGGGCGAGCGGCGAGGGCCCAGCTCGCCATGGATGGGCGAGCTCCGCCCTCGCCCAGATCTGGCAAGGCGGAGCTCACCATGGCTAGGCGAGCTCCGCCTCGCCAGATCTAGGCGAGGCGGAGCTCGCCTTGGCTGGGCGAGCTCCGCCTCGCCGGAGCTAGGCGAGCTCCGCTCTCGCCCAGCGGCGGCGAGGGCCCAGCTCGTCTCGCCTGGCCTGTCCGGCCAGGGGAGAGAAGGAAAAGAAAAAAAAAGAAAAAGAAAATCGAAAATAATAATAAAAAAATATTAAAATATTGCCACATGGCGCCGGCCGGCGGCCACGTCAGCGCTGGCCGGCCAAAAGGACTGAATTGGCTGGTTTGCAAAAGGTTTAGGACTGAATTGGCCAAATTGAAAGGTTGAGGACTGAATTGGCACAAATACAATAGGTTGAGGACTGAATTGGTAATTTTCCCTACTCATTCCCATGAGGGATTTACCATCCTTCTAATAAAGATCCTGTAATGAATTGTGGATTACATATTTTTAAAAAAAGGAAGTTCCAGGATTAAGTGGACCGGTTCCCGGTTGCAGAAACGGGAAATTGCTCCCTCTGGTTTGGTTCTCAGTTCCTGGGTGGGAACTGGCCCACTCGAGAACTGATCACTCCTAAGTGGCTATCAAGTATCAAGATAGTAGAACGGGGAAATCGCGATCAATTCGCAGATTTCCAAGGGAAATCACAAATGATACAAAAGAAATTCTATGATTCGGATACATCGGGATTTGTTAGCGAGCGTCATTATGAAGAAATTTCTTAAGCATTTTTTTCGGTAAGAAATGTTTTAATCTAATGCAAAACAATTAATGCATCGAGATCTGATATTTTTCTTTTGTAACAATTTTTGTGCTGAACGAGTGGAGTCGTTCACAAAATCGAATTCGAATTTTTTACCAAGGGAAGTAGGTTGTTGTCGTAATGTTTTATCGAAGCAAGTGAAACGGCGGTTGGTTGAAGGCACGAAAGCCGAGCACCGTGGAAGCTGCATTTAAGTGGAGAATCTGAGAAAATCTTATGCGAATCATAAAGTTTCCCCAGAGTTAGTTAATGTCGGAGAAGCAAAGTCAAAGACAGCTTACGTTCCACTTAAGAAAGGAAAAATAACACAAATAACTTCCAAAATTTTAACTAAACGTACAATTTTATTCTTAAAATTTTAATTTATTTAATATAATTTCTTAAATTTAATTTAATATGCAATGTCGTCCCAAAATTTTTAATTTATTCAATGTGATCACTGAAATTTTGGCAAATATCCAATTTAGTTCATGAACTATATGAAAATGCTTAATATTGTAACTGAATATCGGGGTTACATTGAACAAATTAAAAGTTTAGAGATGACATTGTAAATTAGGCTAAAGTTCGGGAATTGTTTATGTAATTATCTCATAAAAAAAGATTAGTGTTTAAGCACGAGACCTTTAATTATTTTCATCTTATGATGATTACACAGATTTTTTTTTTTTAAATTAGAGACATCAACGTAGATGATCAACTACAAAAGGCTATGAAACACCCCACAAATCCCCCGAACCGGCCAAACTCAGACTTAAGATTGGTCCAGATAGTTTCGATCCAAAACAATTCGCACGCAATCGATGGGATCTGAAGCAAGGAATTTTAAGATCCATTGGTACCTTGGTCGACTGTACTGTCATGTTTTGTTGCACGTGAATCTTGAAAATCTATTTGCATATTATCTTTTTTACGACCTTATGCGCACTACGAACGCGCGTCAGCTTATATTAATCTAATTCACTGAGAACGTATCAGAAAGGGACCTTCAATTTCGACTTTTTGAGAGTTCAACCATCTGTGCAAGAGGACAAAGACAGTCTATCCAATTAAAAAAGCATGGTCGATCGCATTTGCTTTGTTTTGTTTGGAGTTGGGACAAATTCTGGTTGCAGAAGATGACGAGAGCGACCGCCAAGACGAGCCCCGCCGTTGAGTTCTAACATGCCAGTTTTGACCATTCCCAGCATTTTACACATCATCCTAGCTACTTGGCCTGCAGCAGATATGTGTGTGGTACACGGCTCTAGGAATTAGCGTCCTGTCCATTGCTTTCAAGCTGAATGGCTTCAACTTCAACAGACCGTTTAGGGAAAAGAACGAAGTAGCATGGTCGCTCTCTTGTTTCTACCACTATGCATTGATCGTTTTGTTGCTGATTGATTGATTCATTACAGGACGTTGTATCTGGAGATGATAAGTAAGACTTGGGTCCTGAAACTTTTCGGCCATGGTGAACTTAGGAGAAAGGAATTGAAACCTGACCGTTTGTGCAGATGCCGGTTAAAGATATAAGCACATAAAGCCCACGATTCCTAACGTCGACAGGAGCTCCAGGGAAAGTGTTCAAATGAATGAAGTGGTGGCGATGTATGTTCTTACCTTTTTTGTCGAATCGATATCAAAGGATTCGCCGAAATCTTGGCGAATGCAACTCAAGATGTATAGAAGAAATAGATTATTTGGATATCAAAACGTCTAGCACAATTCGGTTTTTTTCTTTTTGATCGATACGCAGGAAACAAATTCAATTTCAAATTAAATCTTGTTATAACAAGTGGAGCATCATGGCGTTCACCTCAGGAGCTCTTCGCTTCCGCGGCTTCCTTCCCCTCTTCGGTTGTCGCGACCTCAGCTGCTTCGAACTTGGTCTCTGTTGGCTCGACAGGTGATTCCGAGGCCAAAGTGCCGAGCTCCCCGGTGACGGTTTCAGGCTCGGCACTCTTAGCCTCCGCGGTCTCGTCGGGCTCGGGCTCGGAAAGATCCACCAGTGGGGCTTCCTTCTGAGTCTCCTCTCCATTGCCGTTTTCCTACAACCCATTATCATCACCCACACGCCAGAAACAATCATTACGTGATCGAAATTCGAATCAGCGACCTATACGGGATTGACGACGACTCAGTAACGGCCTCGCGGGGCGGCACGCTTCGACTAATATTACCTGAGGGACGGTCTCGGTGGCGGGAGCCTCCACGGGGAGGACTCCGTCGACCTCCTTGGGTTTGCTCGCACAACCTCCCATGGTCACTCACGCGCAAGGGGGCTCTTGTTTGGGAATGAGTTGTTGTGGGGGCAGTTGGGGAAGAAAGCTCGGCGCTTTTTCAATAAGGGAAGGAGCAAACAGTTATAGACGGAGAGAGGGTGCTAATATTAGAACATTGGAGCTGATGGTTTTTAGGAGATCGTGAGATGGTTGGCGCTGTGTCGAGGCCCCCCTTTGTGGTTTTGGACAGATTGTGTGTATCTGGGTTTGGCGTTTTTCATGGTGGGACGTATGGGGTTTCGGCGGTTAGGGACGGTTAGTCTTTGACAGTTAATGCTTCTGTCCCTCTCACGTTGTTGCAAGAACAAGGTTGGCTTTGGCCCTTTCTGTTGATGTGTTCTTGGGTGTCTGTCTGCCTTGGAAGGATCATGCGTTGACAGAGTGGAAGGACTTGGATTGGATAGGTGCAAAGCGGATGCAGTCATCTTTTTGATATTTGGCGGGTTTTTATTGAAGATCTGGTCAAGGGTTTTCAGTTGGACATGGGTAAAGATCAAATTGAGAGCTCACCATCTATTTTCTAGTGCCATTACTTTGGGCCTTGGGGAATTCGATGCTGTTTTGAGCAATCTTTACTCTTAGACAACAGGATTATGCCCTTTGTTTTCTCTTTTCTCGAAAAGGGTTTTATGTTGGGATGTGTTTAGGAGGTTGAGGTCGGTAGCCCGATGGTAAGAAATTATTCGATTATAATTGCGGCCAATGAACTAGAGTTTGTCGAATAATTGTTTAGACACCACTAGAATCGCATTGAGTCAATTGATCCCGCGAGTCGCTCATATCAATCCCATGACAATCATCGAGGAGTTGGCAAATCCAAAGCGAGCCAATTCAAACAACACGGTTTTTGTACCGTAGAGGTATTGGCCCCATTGGGCCCTTCGATTCGATAAATCGCCTTGGGACGAATTGGGCTTTCAGCCTGTAATTTTGATTCATAAAGTCTAAATTTGGCAATCCTTTTTCATACATAGAAAACTCGTCTTCTAATATCATCGTACCTTATCCCTTAAAAAACAACACCTAATATGAAGTTTTAGAGAAACTGCATTTTTCCATACTAGAGCTTGAGGAATTGAATCATAATTTTGGCACGTGCACTCTCACTTGAAGGGTAATTATACAACCTAAAACTGATTGTGAAGTCTAATGTCCGATATCATTTAATGTCGAGTAATTCACTTTGATTGCCCGGTCGCGTCGAACCCTTTACAGATCCTGTGATTCACTCGGAATCACCAGGTGAATATGCTGATTTACTTCCTTCGGGGAACATCCTACTAAGAAAGCTTCCGAAACTGTGATTGAATCCCTAAAAGGAACAAGAACACATGAACACTGTCGAGAGAAATTCAATGTAGTCAGCTATTCAATGCATGAAAGCGATCCTGCTACCGTATCATAGGAATGCAGATATTCTTCCAATTAAGGTTGTAAATTCAAGCAAAAGGATCAAGCGGGGATTTAGAAACAACAGGCATACATTCCCTAAATCTCTGGATTTACAGAGTCACTTTCCTATCGATGTTGCCTCGTACAAGCTATATAATCAGCCCCCTGGATCAAATCACATCCAGACATTGCATCGCCTTCTCCACATTACACTCAGCTCTCCTATCTAACTTTGACTCAGCAGTCACTTTGCTAAGATGGCCAAGCTTTCGTTCGCGCAATTCTTCATCGCGGCCCTTGTTTTTTCGGGTTTTTGTATGAGTTTTTATGTGGCGATCTTGCTTTGCAAAACGTGAAGTGACTATAAACTTGCTTTTTTACCGACGTTTCTTGGTTGATGGAAAATTGCAGCCATGTACGTGAGGCCTCATGGAAAAATAGTGAGGTTGGACCCGATTTCGTGCCATGAGTTCACAGAATTCCGGAAGTGTACTGACCAGGCTCCTGTGGCAAAATGCAAGAGCGACCACGGCGAAGACCTCTTCTAGGATGTGTTCTGCGGGTGCAGGTACGTCACCGGCCAGTAGGACTGTCATTGCTACTATCGCCGTTTAGTGCTTGAGCACGCGCGCGTCACGATCTCCGTTCGATCTGCTTTGTTGGCGCGATGCCCCATAACAAGGCGATTCACTCGAATTCTTGAGTTGGTCAAGTAATATTTGGTCTCTGGTCCTTATTCCTATTTTCTCGATTTCCCCATTCAGCAATATCTCCATGATTACCTCGTGAAGACGGTCGACTGCAAGTTGGGATTTTTGCCATTCCTAGAGACAAAAATTAACTATGATGATAAGGCATGTCGTCGTCTATCGCGGTCAGAATTGATCAATAGAACGACAACTCTAATCGAGTTAATGACTTGTAGCTAGCGTCGCCCCTTTTTTCTTGTCGGCACGAGACCTTTATGGCCAAGTCCCAAATCTGCCTCGAATTTTTTTTATCTCAAAAAATATCATAAACTTTAGGTCTAGTCTCAAATTTGCCCTGATCGTCTTTTAGTCTTAGAAAAAAAAAAATCCAAACTTTAAATCCAATCCCAAATCTTCCCCAAATTTTGTTTTGTGTAAAAAAAATCACCAAATTTCAATCTATTTTTAAAAATCTATCCCCATAATCCAGTCGAAACTTGACGTGGCACTTTCACGCTGATAGCAAATCCACACTCAGCAAAGTAATGTGGCTTTTTTTTAGATAACGAAAAGTCTGGGACAAATTTGGACTGAGCCTAAAGTTTTGGATTTTTTTAGACAAAAATTTTTTTTTTTGGTGAATTTTTTATTATCCCTAACTTTCATATCCTAGAACGGTTTTATTTTTGAGAATTTCAACAATCTTTATTGGGTTGGATTTGTTATAGAAGTGAAAATGCGACGTCGGTCCATACCTATCGCCCTATTACTTTGCTGATGTGGATTGTTATCGACGTGGAAATGACACATCAAGTCTGGACTGGATCACGGGTTGGGTTTTTGTAAATAAATTGAGATTTGGTGATTTTTTTTTACAAAAAACAAAATTCGGGACATATTTAAGACTAGAATTAAAATTTGGGGGGGTTTTTTGAGACAAAAAAAAGTTTGGGGCAAATTTGGGACTGACCCTAAAGTTTAAGGTTTTTTCTGAGACGAAAAAAAGTTCGGAACATATTTGAGACTTGACCAAAAGTTTAGGATATTTTAGGGAATTAGGCCTTGATTTGAAAGGTGACAACACTTTACATCTCTTCTCATAGCGAGATTGGCAATGACGAACTAGTACCTTAGCGTAATGCAACGATACGAGACTCTAAAGATTTTCTTTTTCCACTAGAGAGGAATAGTAGTCCAACACACGACGGACTATGCTACATGTGGGGTTTTGTTGTCATCTAGATCGACATAACTATGCTGTTCACTATTGGGTGAGCATGCGTGAAAATATTCTCGTCTCGAAAAAAACCTTGGAAAAACTTAGTCCAGTTATGATAGATGTCTTAATTGCTTTAGAACTTATTGGCATGTACTTACTTGTTAAAAGCCAAGAAATATTTAACTTGTATTCGAATTAGTTGAAACCCTTCAAAACATGATAATATATGTCTGTGAATTCATATGGGATAATGATACAAATGGTCCCTAAATTTTGACCCAATATGTAATGTGATCCATGAACTTTTAATTTATTCAATGTGATCCCTAAACTTTAATACGATGTATAATGTGGTCTCTAGACTTTTAATTTGTTCAATATGGTCCTTGGACATGTAATCCCTGAATTATATGAAAATATTTAATATTATCCTTGCATTAATATAAGATCAGGGACAATATTGAACATTTTTGTATGGTCTAGAGACTAAACATGATTTAACAGATTGAAAGTTCGGAGACCACATTGCACATTGAGTTAAAGTTCATGGAGCATATTGAACAATTGAAAATTTCATAGACTACATTACACATCGGGTCAAAATTCATGGACAATTTATATCCTTACAGAGTTTCCGACCAAAAATAAAAGAATTCATATGATTTTTTTTCGTAATAACATGTATTGTATTTGAAAAATTTATAGTTTTTGTTCAGTGAACCAATCCAAATCCATCCCAAGCCAACCAAGCAAGCAAGCACTATCTCCTCCCTGTCACTATCATAGAAGGAAGCTAGGAATACAAGCCCCAGATTTCGAGTAAGGCCAGGCTTCTAGAGAAATTGAATTAATCAAAGACGACGACGCCGTCCAGAACGGAAAAAAGTATATTAAAGAAAAGGAAAACAACGACGGTCGTTCGAACGTCAAGCGCCGCAGGTTGTCCAACCGCCGCGCCAACAAACGACGACGACGACCTTTTCTTGGTCTCTCCGACGTTCGTCCTGGAACTCCGTTTTTCATCGGATCCTTCGCGTTCGAGCCCGAGAATAGATCCCTTTTGCTCGACCCAGATCGCGTTGTTCCCTTCTTCTTCACCTCCGAATCTCTCTCGTGGAGCCTCGCACTGTTTCGCCCCCCTTTGAATTTTCTTGATCTTGGGCTCCGATTCAAGGCGCGAGCTTTTCCTTCGGAGAGCTCGCCGGAACCCTTGATCATGGGTGATCCCCCGGTTCCCAAGCTCCATCTCGTTGTCGTCGCCGCCCTCCTCTTCTTCTCCGCCGCCGTCGGATCGGAGGAGGAGCCGCCGCCGCGGATCTCCGGTTCGGCCATCAGATTGCCCACCGAGGAGGGCGACGGCGGAGGCCTCTGCTCCGGGGCGGCCCGGCCCGGCTCGTGCCCCGTCAAGTGCTTCCGTGCCGACCCGGTCTGCGGCGTGGACGGGGTGACCTACTGGTGCGGCTGCGCCGACGCCGCGTGCTCCGGCGTGGGAGTCGCGAAATTGGGCTACTGCGAGGTCGGGAGCGGCGGGTCGGGTCCGTTGTCGGGTCAGGCGCTGCTCTTGGTCCACATTGTTTGGTTGATTGTGCTAGGGTTCTCGGTTCTTTTCGGGCTTTTCTGAGCATAATATGAGAGGCCAATTGAATTTTGGCGTTTTTTATTTTCTCTCTTTCTGGGGGTGCTTTTGGTGCATGTAAGAGTTGGATGATTCCATGGAAGTTAAAATTCTTTTGTTCATATTGATCATTGATGATGATGCATCCATTCATTTTCTGTATCGTCTTGTGAAATGCTCGTAAAGTTCTTAGTTGTGCATAAGTTTGGTCATTGATCTGTTGCAAATCGCTGAGAATTCTTATGACGAGACTGGTTTTCGTACCTTGTTTCATCGATGGAAAGAAATTTGATGAAATTCTGCTGGAAATCCTTATTTAGCACCATCGGATAGGGACAAATCGATTGCTGTGTTTTAGTTTCTTGTAAGCCTTTTCAATCGTCAAATTCTGGCCATCTTCAAGGAGCGAGAAGCATAGATCCATAGTTTATGTCGGTTAATTCATGATGTCCGTCTTGGTTTACAGTGAAGCTTGAAGTATTTGCTTCAATCGCCTCTTATTTGCTCGTTGATCGGGTTGTAGAGGAGTATCGCTGTGTTCTTGGGCTGTCAAATGTTGATGGAGAAACTAATGCATATGTTACTCCTACTTGGTGTGATGATGTGGCTTAATTTTGGAAATTGCTTTTGGTGGATGTATAATTACTGCCTTACTGGGGAAATTGTTTAGTAAAATCTGTACTAGACTAGGTACAGGAGCAGGTTTTCCTTGAACTTTGAGGCGAACATAAAAGAGGAGCAGAGGATGCAAGGAGGAGCTACAGTATCTGTGCTATTCTTCGGCTAGCATTAACCATAAGGTGGCTCAAGAGCAAATGAAAGGTACTGTCAATTGTGGAGTTCGTACAAATAACAAGTGAGAAAAGCATAGGTGTTGCCTTCTAGATCAGGGTACAACTTCACATGCTGAAAGAATGGAGTAAATTTTTGTCTCTCTCCCGTCCCGAACACCATGCATGCCAACTGTCTTAGAATGTTCTTTCTTGCACTGCTCCTTTGCCTCCATCAAGAGGCAGAACAGTTAGAGGCACTATTTGAGTGGTTAATGGACACCTGTATCATCCTTAGCTACTGAAAACTTATATATCCGAAAAGTTTGATCATATCGTGTCCATAATTCGGTCCCTGATTTTGGTATCTATAGTGAACTCCTTAGTTATGGCCATGTTGTCGCAGAGAACGTGTACAGCATATTGCGGGAGCTTTTAAATCAGTGTCCGATTAAGTCAATAGAAGTTGGAAGCATGTATTTGCTTTTTCCTAGCTGAAACTGTTTTGCTTTACCTACAGCCTCTGCATCAATGTTCGAGCAGATTTAGCTGTAAATATTGTACAGAGAAGTCATGCAACTTTGCTATTGTCACTTTTGGATGAGTATGCATAGACCAAGTTGCAGGCTGATGGTCATCAGAAAATTATTCGTGCCAGTCGATAAGAAGCATTCTTACCACTAGTATTGGGTATGACATGGGAGTCTCACTATCCTGTCTCCACCTCGCGTGTCCATTAGAAAACAGACGTATCAACGCTGACTTTGGTGCTGTGCTGTGGATAGTCGTTGCTTTTGTTTGTAATATCTTGCTTCTCTCTGCATTTTCTGATGACATGTGGACGCATAAAACGAAGGCTCATGTGGTTTGTCATCTTTTCATTTCTCTTTTGAGAGTTGAGGAGGCCTCGCAAGTTTTCATCGACTACGGACATGTAGCACAAACATTACTTCAGCTTAAGGCATGAAACTTCCTTGGACATTCGATCTCTTTTTAGCACGATCACGAGACCAGAGTCTAAATTTTAGATGGGAATATTCAATCACCCAACATTAACAATCAGTGATCGTGTCTAATCATCATAACATCAGTTGTACCGAAGTCTTAAGATATCAATTCAGAATCTCCATATCTTGCAATGCGTAGAGATGGAGTCTTTCAAATCTAGCAGCTTCCATAGGGCCAGAAATCACAGGAGAGGTGCACAAGAATAGCCAGCGCAGAGACCTGTAGCGCTGCTATAAGGGAACAAAGCGACAGGTCGACTCGGTGGCAGCTCAGGAATCGGTCTGTCAGTGGCCAGGAGATCGACCGCCTCCTCCATGCTAGGCCTACCTTTACTCTCATTCAGGGTACACAGCAAACCAATCTCCAGAACTCGAATAGCTTTTTCGAGGTTGACCAACGAGCCCATCCGTCGTATCAAACACCTTCACCTTCTCGTTTCACTCATGCATTCTCCATGCGAAATCCAGCAAATCGTTCTCTTCGTCTTCTTTCACTTCCGGGTCGCTCCTCCTCCTACCTGCAATGACCTCCATGGCAAAGACCCCAAACTCAAAGACATCGGCCGCTTGACTTGCTGCTGACTCGAACTTTCTTGATCCTGAATTAGAGAGCACGGATCCAAAATCCCCTAATACAGCACGGAAAGTGACGTCAAGAAGGACACTGGTCGTCTTCATGTTCTCGTGTGCAAGTTTCTTTGAATGCAAAAAACTCAAAGCTTCCGCATATCCTTGACGACCTTGAACCGCCTTGTCCACGGCAAAATGCCGACTCCAACTATCAAGACCTCCATTTGGGGAGAAATGGTGACGAATACGACTGATGGCGCAAATTCCTTTCAAAATTCTTCGCCCTTCTAATCCATTTGAGTTCAAAAAAATCAGCTGAGAACCGCTTCACAGCTCCGGGCCAGCCATTCGGTAGCTTTCCCCTTTTAAAGAGAACCTCTTTAGTCACTTCCTAAGTTCCTAGTGCTTCATACTCGCCGAAACCTGGCGTTGCACTGGATACATCCTTGACAGTGAACCTCCGTGGCTTGTTAGGAAGCCTTGGTCGTTGTATTTCTTCCGGCATGATGATGGTGCTCGGTTTATCTCCTCTGCGCTTGCTATCATAGTACAAGCTAATTAGAACTGCGAAGAGCCAGCACCGCGACGGCTGCAAAAATCCAAGAAATTGCTAGTTGGTTCTGTTTGGTCTGGCGAATTGATTAATTTGCTTCTAAGCTAATCAAAAGGACTATAAAGGAGAATATGCATAATTAGTAATCACTCGAAATGTTTGCAAAATGAGGCACGCAAGGAATATCACTGATTAACCCAAGGGATTGACTCATTCTTGATTGAGAAGTATAATTGATGCTTATACAAATTAGGGCGCACGAGAAGAGTTCAAATCTCTACTCCACTAAGGGTACTAAGCTCTGTGTTTGAGCAATCCCCCGGAGTTTGCTTCTTGTTATATGGAGTCCAAGAGGTTAGTGGGGTATTTCATGGGGTCTGGAGTTTATTTATGTAAGATGGGTCTGCACATCTTTACCCAAAAAGAATACTAGAGGACTCTGGAGTATTTCAGTATGACTTGTTACAAGAAATAAGATATTACGACTAACCGACAATAAGATGTGGGCCGTAAGAAGATATATATACATACCCACACAAACAATCGGGTCGTGCGTAAGTATCCTAGAAGAGTTTACTACACTATTTCTAATTCAATTTTCTAATTTTTTTTTTTGTAAATCTCAGCTAGAACAAGATACTATCTTTAGGACATTGGAGTCCATTATGTACAAAATTTCATCTTTATATATGTATGGAAACCATATCTTATATTTACTAGTTCAACAAAGAGGAATATTTGGTAATTCATAAAAACTTTTTCATGACTATTCTTAACATACACTGCCGTTGTAAAAATATTTTTTTGTTCACAAACGGTCTTATCCACCCTTAATTTTGCGGTTAGTTAGTAAGGGAATTGGTAATAAGAATCCTCAAATCAAGGGTGGATCAGAATGGTTATGTAAAGTTTTCTTTACACCGACAATGCATGTTCTAATTCTCCCTTTTACAAAAACAATGTTGATTAGATACGTGTGTCTCTGTGATTAACTATTAAATCCAACCAACTCGATGAATCAGACCATGCAAAGTCCTAAACGTTGGAGCTGGCAAAACGAGAGAGAGAGAGAGAGAGAGGGCCTCTGCTTTTTATGTCGGTGGTTGACTATACTTTATTTATCGCATTTGGCAAACCAATCAGTCTTTTTCATAGGTTTTTTAATCATACTTTGATCCCCGTCACTGTGGTTACCATACTTTTCTACATTAAAGATGATCTTTTATGGTAAATTATCATTTTTAATGGAAATTTGTTCATCAAATGGTATTCTAAAATCTTGTTAGATTTTTGAACGAGCGAACCGCGCCCCGTGCATGACCTCACTGGTTTGCTTCCACACAAAATTTAGAGTATCAATCTAAATTAACTAAACAATTTAGCGTACCTTCTTTGTTATCCTCTTCATGATCTTTACCTTTCTCCATCAAACGTGCCGTCTCCATTTCGATCTTGATATTCAAAGCTTGATTGATTTTTTAATAACAAATATGGCATGCTTACAACTTCTCGAGTAGATTAACAGGTTGTTTCTTTTTTTTTTTTTTCTCTTGTACAGATTGGAAATTGTCTAGATTTTCAATTTAATCGATATATAATTGGTCATTAAACTCCCTCTGATAAATATCAAAGAACACGCCATGTTGCTACCAAACCTTGATTTAAAGAACACTTCAAAGGATCTCTCTCTCGTACGCAAGAGCACAGTCATTTTGTCCTGACAGACTGTGGTTTGCTCCTACTAAGGCATGAGAAAAGCTGCAGAGCTTCCTATTCAGTGGCACCCCCGTCAAAGCTGGTTTCTCTAGGCGTTCATAACGGGGGACGAAAAAGGGGGAAAATGATAAGGGAAACAATCATTGTCCATACTCTATTTTCAGGAAGAAGTGTAGCCCTTAACCTGTTTGCAACCATTGAATCTAATGAACTCCAATCGGATCGTTTTTCTATCTAGAAGGACTGATTAACAATGTGTCGTGCAAAACATGAAAAAGAGATGCGACGTGTCGATTTTGTTGGACGACACCGCGAACTTCACCAGGGAGAAGAACGCCTGCCCAAACGCCAATTCCATACGGGGAATCAAGGTGACCGACACGATCAATTCCCAGCTGGAGAGCAAGTGCGCTGGGGTTGTGTCCTGCGCTGGCAGTCGCTGCATGAGATTCCGTCGTTGGACTTATTTTTTAGTTAGGTGGTCCAAATTGGATAGTCTCGCTTGGAAGAAGAGACTCAACCACCGCAAACCAAAGTGCTAC